ACAGATTAGCAAAAAAAAAAAATTTTTTTTTTTTTCAAAATGACATGCGCCTGTGCGGATGGCAGGATATTAGACCCCGAGCATGTTAAGGGTTAATTTAACAACCATTACCCTATTAGACGATGTAAGGAGAAATAGTTTTAAAAATTTAAATTCCAAATTTTGTTTTTATCGGGGATGAACAGATGAAAACTTTTCTGTGGGGAGCCCGTACAGTCTGTTCCATTTATCTCCCCCCCTAATGTCCCACTTTCTCTTCCTGATCTTAAACACCTGTTGGACTTCTTACCAGAGCCTGTGCTCCTTTTGGGTGATTTTATCTGTTGGCATACCCTCTAGGGTGATGCTCTGATAAACACCCGGGGCCACCGCCTTAAAACTTTTGTCCTCTCTTCTTCTGTCTCTTCTGAATTCTGGTGAACCCACTCATGTGGACTCCCGCACTCGCACCCTCTCCTGTCTTGATCTTTCTCTCTGCTCGTCTTCTCCTTATTTGGACTTCACCTGGCGGGTTCTTGATGACCTACAAAACAGTGACCATTTCCCCATCCTTGTCACCACCTTCTCTTTTTGCCCTCCACTCTCCTTCCCTAGGTGGCAGTTTGCCAGGGCTGACTGGAGCTTCTTCACCTTGCGTGCTACTCTTCCGACCTCTTTGATATGCCTCTTCTCTGAGCCCTCTTCTTTCATGACACTGTTTTTGATGCTGCCCTGTGCTCTGTTCCTCGCTCTACCTCCTGCGGTGCGAGGAAGTGTATTCCGTGGTGGAATGCAGACTGTGCTCGGGCTGTCCGCTGTAAGCGTGCAGCCAGGAAGAAACACCGTCACCGTAGGATGCTAAATGTGAGGGTTGGAGATCTCTTGTTTCCATCATTACGTCTGACACTCCTCTGCCCCTGATCTGGAAGAAAATCCACAAGATAGCTGGTAAGTTTGTTCCAGATGTCTCGCCAGTCCTTCACCTCCGTGGTTCTATTGTGGCGGATCCAGTGTCGGTTGCGACCAAACTGAGTTCGACTATTGGCTCTGGTTCTCATCTACGTCCTTCTTTCCTTACTCGTAATGGTATTGGGGGCCTCGTAGCCTGGTGGATAGCGCGCAGGACTCGTAATTCTGTGGCGCGGGTTCGATTCCCGCACGAGGCAGAAACAAATGGGCAAAGTTTCTTTCACCCTGAATGCCCCTGTTACCTAGCAGTAAATAGGTACCTGGGAGTTAGTCAGCTGTCACGGGCTGCTTCCTGGGGGTGGAGGCCTGGTCGAGGACCGGGCCGCGGGGACACTAAAAGCCCCGAAATCATCTCAAGATAACCTCAAGATTGCCAAGTTCTTGAAGATTCTTGAATCTTCTTCCTTAGATTTTTGCACTTCTCTTCGGCTTCCCTGTAACGATCCTTTCTCTCTCTCAGAACTCCAGTCTGCCTTGGCCCTCTTTTGGTTCTACGGCAGCAGGCTTGGATGATATTCATTATGAGATGCTTAGCCATCTTCCTCCATGCACTTTTCAGTATTTACCGAGTGTTTATAACTGTGTCTGGGAGTCGTCATTAGTCCTCGAGGACTGGCTTGAGGTGGTTGTTCTTCCTATTCGGAAACCTGGTTCTCTAGGGTCATCCCCTAAAGATTTCCGCCCCATTACCCTCATGACTTGCATCTGCAAAACTTTTTAAGCGTGTGGTCAATGTCCGTATGATGTGGTTCTTGGAACGCTATCACCTCCTCTCCCCTTCTCAATTTGGCTTTCGTAACTGTCGCAGCATGACTAATGTCCTGGTGAACTTGGAGGTCTATATTCGTACTGCGTTTGCTGCGAAGACCTCCGTTATTGCTGTCCTTTTTGACCTAAAAAAGGCATATGGCACCACCTGGCGATACCATATTCTGTCCCAGTTCAGTTCTTTTGGCCTTCATGGTAATCTCCCTCTCTTCCTCCAGAGCTTACTCTCGTCATTCCTTTCGAGTGCGGCTTGGTAACGCGCGCTCAGCCTCTTTTCGGCAATACGAAGGTGTGTCCCAAGGTAGTGTTCTGAGCACCACTCTTTTTCCTGGTTGCCCTCAATGGTCTTCTTTCCTCCCTTCCCTCTAACGTTTTTCTCTGCTCTTATTTTGAGATTATGTTGACGATCTTACCCTCTGTTGTCAAGGTGATGACTCGCCTTTCCTCGAACGGCGGCTTCAACTTGCGATTGATGCTGTGTCATCCTGGGCCACCAGTTATGACTTCAAATTCTCTCTGGCTAAGACTTGTGCTATAACCTTTACTCGGAAGCAGGTCATTCTTCGACCCCCTCTGTCATTTTATGGTAATCTCCTTTTTGTATAAGGATTCTGCTAAACTTCTGGAGGTTAATCTTTGACATTCTCCTGTCCTGGTCACCCCATATCTCCTATCTCCTCAAGGTCTTACTTAAGGTCTTGTCCCATATGTCCTGGGGAGTTGATAGGCGCATACTTCTCGTTACATTCCTCTCTCATGCTGTCTAAACTCGATTATGGCTGTTTGCTTACTCGTCTGCCTCTCCCCTCGTCATCTTGATGCTCTTCACCATACTGGGCTTCTTAGCTATGGTGCCTTTCGTTCGACCCCTACCCAGAGCCTGTATGTTGAAACCTGCTTCCTATCTCTACAGGAGTGCTGTGATCTCTACTGTCTTCGCTACTTCGCGCGGTCCCTACAGCACCCTCACTCTCGCTTATGTCGTACTTTGACCATTACCCCTCCTGTGGGCCTTGTTCCCTTTTATCACCTTCCCCTTTCTGTACGGTTGTCTCGCTTGCAAGGTTCTCTCTCGGTTCGTGTTGCCAATGTTTCTCCTCGTGCCATTCCGCCCTTGCCCCCTTGGAGGGACCCTCTTCCTAAGTTTTGAAGAACCCTGACCAGCGTGACTAAGGTTATTACCCCCTCTTACAGTTCTGAAATGTCTTTTCCTTACTCACTTTTCTTCACACTCCAGCTCCATCTCCGCCTTCACGGATGGTTTAAGTCTGCTGGCGGTGTAGGTTACTCTGTTGTGTTTTCTGACTGCACCTATGTGATGCCTCTGCCTCTGGAGACTACCATCTTTACAGCTGAACTTTATGCAATTTTGTTTGCTCTTCATCAACTGCTTTCTTGGGGTAATTCTTCCTCTGTTGTTGTAGTTGGCTCTCGTAGTGCCCTTGTGGCTCTGGAGTTCTTTGATTAACCTGTCCATCCTGTGGTCGTCAAAATTCAGTATTAGCTGTTTCTTACCTCCAGCAGATTTAGGACAATCGAGTTTTGTTGGGTTCCCAGCCATATTGGTGTTTCCTTAAATGAGCGTGTGGATGCTGCTGTGAAGGAGGCTATCCACGGGTGGAACACGAACAAGGGAACACAGGTGGAAACTTAGTACCCAAATGAGCCACAAAGACATTATAAAGAATTTTTTCAGTGTCAGAGTAGTTAACAAATGGAATGCACTAGGAAGTGATGTGGTGGAGGCAGACTCCATACACAGTTTCAAATGTAGATATGATAGAGCCCAATAGACTCAGGAATCTGTACACCAGTTCATTGACACTTGAGAGGTAGGACCAAAGAGCCAAAGCTCAACCCTCGCAAGCACAACTAGGTGAGTTCGCTTTCCCATTTCCCGTAAAAGGTGTTCCTTATTTCGACTAATACCCTGTTATTCATTCCTTGATCCATGCCTGTTGGCGGGGTCACTGATCTTCTGTTACTGGTAACAAGCTGTCTGCATTTAAGGGTAGTGTGTCCCCATGGTCTTCCTCCGACCACCGTAGTCGGTGGTGGGAAACTGCTCTAGCGAGGTTAGTAGTAGTAGTAGTGGAGTAGGCATCCTTCAGTCTCTGCAGACTGTGGAGTTGCGCTCTGGTTGCTTACCAGAGCCGGTCGGCCGAGCAGACAGCACGCTGGACTTGTGATCCTGTGGTCCTGGGTTTGATCCCAGGTGCCGGCGAGAAACAATTGGCAGAGTTTCTTTCACCCCTATGCCCCTGTTACCTAGCAGTAAAATTGGTACCTGGGTGTTAGTCAGCTGTCACGGGCTGCTTCCTGGGGGTGGAGGCCTGGTCGAGGACCGGGCCGCGGGGACACTAAAATGCCCCGAAATCATCTCAAGATAACCTCAAGATAACCAGGGTGCAAAGCCTGGGTAGGTCGATATGGAGAAGAAGCTGTTACCCATGCAGCAGGTCTCCCCTCTCCACGTTGCTGAAATTATCCAATGGAAAGGCAAATGCCAATACACATGGTTCCAAATCTGTCTAGCGAGGTTACGTATTGGCCATACCCGTTTAACTCGCAGGCACTTAATGGAGCGCTGCCCTGCTCCTTATTTTCTGAACTGCATTGTCCCTCTTATGGTCGTGCATATCCTTGTTGAATGTCCTGACTTCCAGGACGAGCGTGCATCTTGCTTTCTGACTGTCCCTCGCAGTCACCTGTCCCTCAATAGTATCCTTGCTGAATCAGATGTCTTTGATGATGATCACCTTATACGCTTTTGTTCTCGTATTGTCTTCCTTAGCGATATTTAGCGTCTTTTGAACATCTCACACTTTTGATGGTGCTACATATCCTTCCCTGCTTGATGCCTTCTTTTCATAATTACTTACTTGATCAGACATAAGTTGAATGTCAAGATAAAAAAAATAAATGATGAATTAAAGTATTACTGAAATACGAGAGAATTTAACAAATACAGAAGAATAGACAAATGTTTATTTAAAAAACTTTAATTTTTTTTGACATGGGAAATTTTAGTTATGCCAAGAAAGTACAATATGGTATTAAGCATTTTGTATTACATTATTTATGGAATAACTTAGTTATAGAAGTAATGTTCATGGTAAGATATTTTGATGTATATACATGCAAAACTTGAGTAATTTTGTTTGTGCTAGTTGAAGATTTGATTTGCCTGTTCTGTTGAAGACAGCTGGTGACAAGAGATAATAACTTTGACAGGCATTCTCGTGAGTTAATTTGTATCTCGATTAGTGTTGGCTTCCTTGCAGGTATTCCAGGTCTCCAAGGAGTTGTCCAAATTCTCCAATATTGATATTGCCCTCTCTGTGGGTGGTCTGGACCTTAGAACCCAAGAAGCAATGTTAAAGAAGGTTCCAGATATTGTCATAGCTACACCAGGACGGTTAATAGACCACCTGCAAAACACTCCTTCCTTCAGTATTGATGATGTTGAGGTCAGTTTCGGCAGGAGGACATCACATCACGCATGATGACATTATTATACAAAAATATTCCTCGTCATACACAACTAAATATACTTGTGGAATTGTTGAGTGCATGCTACCTTTTATCCATTATGTTTTACATTCTTGCACCCTTGTTGTTATTACAGTAAGAGCTCAGTAATTCACAGTCCAGTAACTTGAATCAATAAGTAATCTGCAAGATTTCACATTTGTTTTTGTTTTTTAGTTTTTTTCTGAGGGAAGCCCCTACGGCTCCCCGGAGCTATCCAGGCTGATAAGGATAGTCCTAACTTTGACATCAGTCAATGTGGGTGGAATTTTAGGCGTACCAGGGATCACGAGCCAGAACTTGGCCCCTTCAGACAGGCACAAGAAGCAATAGCCTGTAGAAATGCACGTGTGATTTTGGAGCATTCTATATCTGCCATCGACCAGCATAAGCACCCAGAAAGATAAGCGCCCCAAACAAACCATTATTCTGGTTAAAAACGACAAAAATAGACAAATGAGTAGACAGAACACCCCAATTGAAAACGAGCAAACAAGCGTGATGTCACACGAGCCGCAACACATGTCTGCGCAGCTCCCCCCCTCCCTAGGAGGGAAAAGGGGGAGCCCCAGACCCCCACGCCGGCAATCCACACCCCAGTTCTTTGGCTGATGAGATTCGGCTTGGTCATTGTGGCTCCAGCTCCAGACTTATGTTGTGCTGTCCTCTGTTCAGTGCTGCTCTTACGGTGGTATGCGAGCTGGGAGTAATATTCACAGATACTTGGGCTGCATGTGCATAGGGTCACATTCCGTGAGTGCCCTGTAAGTACTGCCCTAGGGGCTTGGGGTTTACCTTCCACAAATCACCTTGGGTCTACCTCTGTTGGTCTTTAGTTGCTTGGCGATTGACTGCCCCGAGGGTTTTGGGGGGCTTCCTCCCTAGTTTGCCTTGGGGTAAGTGGTAGTTATTGCACTGGTAGGGGCACGGGGTACTGCGTAGCTAGTGTTTTCCCATAACAGCGGCCGGCTCTGTTCCCTCTGGGAACAGAGGGAACTGTCTGTTCTCTTGTGAGGTTTTTCTTTTCTTTTTGTTTTTGCCTGATGGGGAGGTTATGCCTTGGTGTTCCTGTACCACTTTTTCCCGGTTCAGCTATTGTTCCAGGTCCTGGCCCATTTGAACACTTACCAGGGGGCCAGTAGTCCTCTTGGCCTCGTGGTGGCCGGTCCAGCCGTGGTTTCAGGCGCTGCTTGCCCAGTGTCCGAACCCAGAGGTTTTTCCCGCAGCCCCGCCTCTTTCAGAAGATCGGACCCGTCTGTTACGAGACTGGTTCTCTCTTCTCCTCGAGTCTTTGCATTTGGTATTTTTGGCTCTAGTTCATCACCATTTGTATAGTGATCAGGTGGCGTCATTGATGGTAAAGACGCTGGCGCGTCTTTACCCAGACGCGTTTACCTTTACCTGACGCTCATGCGGCACTGGCGGATCCACTTCAGCTTGCTTTCGCAATTGATGTTACTTCTGTACCGTTTTGCAAGCGTTCTCATGCGTTGTTTCACTTCCGGCCTGCTCATGTGCCGCCTGAGCCATCCTGGTCTTTAGACAGTGCTCTCCTATCTCTCTTCTCATGAGTTTGTTGTGGCCCATTCCATTCAGGATTGTTTTTCAAAGGCTCTTTTTTCCTGTTGGCATTGGCCTCCGGGGGTCGGGTCGGGGAGCTTCATGTTCTCCGGCACAGGGGTTTCTGCTCTTTCGATTGTGGAAATAAGTTTGTTCGTCTGCAGCTGTCTCCTACTTTTCTGGTGAAGAATGAGACTGCTGCTTTCCGAAGGGGTCCTTGGGTTGTTGATGCTTGGTTGGTCAGGCCGGGGGTGCATCATGTTTTGTGTCCGGTTGCGGGCCCTCTGCCGTGATTTGTGTGCCACAGCTTCTGTGTCCGGGGGACGCGCCTTGGGTTGATCCAGTTTCCCTTCCCTGTTCGTGGATACGGGTCTCTCAGGTCGTCCGCAGGGTTATTAAGTCTAGCCAGCCTGCGGTTTATCCCTGTGCCCATGAACATTCGTAAGTTTGCTGCTCTTGCTGCCATCTTTGGTAACATGTCCTGGGCTGACATTCGGGCACGGGGTTTTTGGTGGTCGTACAGGGTCCTGGCTGCATGCTACCTCGTAAATGTTCCTGGGCCTAGTCGGGCCTGTGTCGCTTTGGGTCGACGGCTGCAGCCTGTCTCGACTTCGAGTAGAGGTGTGGACCACCAACCTCCTCTCGGGTAAGCCCCCTTCTTTCCTTCTTTTTAGTCTTTGGTGACGTAGCTCCCGCGAGCCGTAGGGGCTCCCAGAAAAACCAGCGTTGAATGTAATGAAACGCCATTTTCTGGGTGAGTTCCGGAGGCTTCCCGGCAACCCTCCCTCCCTCCGGTCGGCAGTTTTTTGCGTATTTTGATATCCAGCCTCAGAACTGCGGTGTAGATTGCCGGTGTGGGGGTCTGGGGCTCCCCCTTCCCCTCCTGAGGAGAGGGGAGCTGCACAGACATGAAGTGCGGCTCATATGACGTCATGCTTGTTTGCTTGTTTACAATTGGGGAGTTCTGTCCACTTGTTTGTCTATTTTTTGTCGTTTTTAACCAGAATAGGGTTTTTTTTGGGCATTTACCTTTCTGGGTGCCTGTCCCGGTCGATGGCAGATATTGAATGCTCCAAAATCACATTTGCATTACTATAGGCCATTGCTCCTCATGTCTCTCTAAGGGAGCTAGGTTCTGGCTCGTGGTCCCTGGTAGGCCTAGAACTCCACCCACATCGACTGATGCCAAAGTTAGGGATATCCATATCAGCCTGGATAGCTCTGGTGAGCCTCTGGGACTCGCCCAGAAAATGGCGTTTCATTACATTCAATGCCAGTTTTTTAACCTTTATGGGAATGTGGATTAACGCGATTTCCACTAGACAAGAAAATTAAATAAATTCAGATTCAAGTGTTTTACTCTGTACCTCAAAGCCAACTCAGGTTACCGCAATTTCCATTGGACAAGAGACCCAAATTAGTTTGGGTTTGAGTGATTTTGCTCCATTATCTGAAGCCAACTTGGGGTCACTGGGATTTTATCATCAGGCTACTAAATGAAATGTGGCGACCGACGTATGCTCATAAAGTAAATTACATTAAAACATTTCATTAATATAATATTCATTAATAAATAAAATAAAGAAATATAATATCTTATATTAGGATAAGTAATAATTGAGTGTTAAAAACTGTATGTACAGTATAATCTGTGCAGAAGATTTTCCTGTTAAAATAGAAAATTTTAATCCTGTAGAATCCTGAAGAATTTACTTTTAAATCATATTGTCTTCTATTATGTTGTGACTGTTGTTGGTTTCTTTTAATCAGATCTTGGTATTGGACGAAGCAGATAGAATGTTGGATGATAGCTTCGATGATCAGATGAAAGAAATTATCAAGGAGTGTTCAGGTAATCGTCAGACCATGCTCTTCTCAGCCACGATGACCTCCAAAGTCAAGGAGTTAGCCCTTGTGTCCCTCAAGGATCCAGTCAAGGTCAGAATTTCTTACATGAATTTCATATATACACTATATCTAGTATTGTTATAGGTTTTCTAATTTCTTTAGTCAGATTATATCCTTTTGGTGGTTTTCTTAGTGGCCTAGCAATCAAAGCATACCAAGTTTCATTTCCATTAAGGATGCAGTGTTTTTTTTTTTAATTTATTTTAAGCTAATTTCTAGAGTTTATCAATCCCATTACCCGCCTCTTGAAAAACCATGGTGATGGTGATTTACAGATATCCAGCCAAATTGATGGAAATGTTCCTTCCTGCTTTACTCTGTAATTACCTAAGTGTAGTTACAGGATGATAGCTGTGCTCGTGGTGTCCCGTCTTCCCAGTTCTCTGTCATATAACGCCTTGAAACTACTGATGGTTTTGGCCTCCACCAACTTTTCACTTCACTTAACACTTTTCTGGATTTTCGACTTGGAATTACGGGCGTTTTGCTTAACCGCTTGTCGGATCACGACGTAAATTTATGGACCGTGTTTTATATTGGGTATTTACTACTCGATCGACTTGGGGTTTGTATGAATATGTTTGCCATTAAATTTTCGTTTTCTCTAATAGGCACAGTGCCTATTTGAGAAAATGGCAATGTATTGTAACTTAGAGGAGAGACTATTGAGTTGGTGACACAACGAGGGTACGCCCACTCCACACACTCTTGTGTTGGCCGCGATCATGATTCTACATTTATATGCATATGTCTGTGTAGAGAATTTTATTCCGAACACTATACAAACAAAAAAACGGTGTGAATCAAGTATAAACTTGAAAAAACATGAGCAAAGTAAAAACTTTTTACTCTCACGGGTACAAACACGCGTAAGATTTTATTCGCCGCAAATTTATTTGACACTCTGTTGGCCAATTCTACCCATGTTCTTATAGAACTTTCTATTGCGAACACATTGCTATAAAAATGAAATACCTAGCTCGAGAAATAATGTCAGAACAGTGAAATAAGTATAAACTTTCAAAGCGCTGCATCACAACAGTGTCGTCGCTGCTGAAATCACGGCTAACGCTTTGCCCAGTTCCCACACTCGTGCGGAACATAATTAGACATTGATAGGCATATGTCTGGGTGGGGAATTTTATTGCGAGTTCAGTGATATCAAAATGAGCGCTGTAGGATGACTGTGAGGCTGGCAACAAACGAAAGAGTATGAACATTTACTTCCTGTTTGGGTGTCACGGCGAGTCATCTTCGTGTTTATTTACTTCGTGGTGGGATAGCAAATGCTTGGGTGACATTTTATGCATATGATCTTGTAGAGAATTTTATTGCCAACGCATTGATACCAAAATGAAAAACGTAGCTCGAGAATTGATGTTAGGAGCGTGAAAAGATTATAAACTTTTTTGTGTTTACGCTTGAGCGCCCAGAACGCCGCGCGCACAACCCGCTTTTTTTTCAGCCAGTGCCGCGCGCACTAAAGTGTTAACTTTGTTCCAATCGTCTACACAATCAGTTTGCAAAAGAAAACCTTCTAATATTTTTTTCAGCACCTATGTTTCTTTAGCGTGAATCTGTGTCCTTTTGTTTTCGAAGTTGTTTGTTTCGGGAATTTCTTGGTCAATTTGGTCAATTCCTGTTAGTTTTTTATAAGTAGTGATCATATCACCTCTTTTTCTTCTATCTTCTTGCTTTGGCATATTTAACACCTCTAGCCTCTTCTCATAACTTATTTTTCAGTTCCGGAAGATATTTTGTAGCATGCCTTTGCACCTTTTCCAGTTTATTGATGTGCTTCTTGAAATATGAGCACCATACAACTGCTGCATATTTCAGTTTTGGTCTCCTGAAAGTCACGGATAGGTTCTTTAGTATTTTACCATCCATGTACAGTAAATAAAAGCAAGTCTGAAGCTTCTCGCATAATGTTCTTTATATGTTCCTCTGGTGACCGTCTACTATCCAAAACCACCCCTGGATCTCATTCTTTATTAGAATTCTTTAATTCCTTTTCACATAATTTATAAGTTGTGTGTGTGGTCTATTTTCTCTAATTCCACATTCCATAACATTACATTTATTCACATTAAATTTCATTTGCCACATGTCATTCCAAGCACTAATTATATCTAGATCAATCTGAAGGTAATGACAATCATCTACATCTCCTATCTTCCCCAGCATCTTAGCATCATCTGCAAACATGTTCATATAATTTTGTATTCCTTCTGGTACGTAGATCGTTTGTGTAGATGATGAACATTACTGATGCAAGAACTGAACCCTGCGGGACTCCGCTAATAACGCTCCTCCAGGCAGATACATTGCCTCTGATTACTACCCTCATCTTTGTCAGAATTTTTTTTTTTATCCATGTCAGAAGTCACCCCTCCAGCATGTTCTAGTTTCCAAGGCAACTGCTTGTGTGGTTCTTTCTCAAAACATTTTTTAGGTCCAGATAGACAAAGTCAACCCAACCATCTCTTTCCTGTATTATCTCTGTGACTCTATCATAAAACTAGTTATATTTATGTTAATGATATGGGTCTATAATTTAGTATCTTCTCTGCTTCTGTTTTTATAGATTGGAACTATGTTTTCCTTTTTTTATGTATGCTACGGTAATTGTGCACAAGGATATCTGGAATATCAGAATATCAATATAAGAGTGGAATGCCGAGCTCAGTGCACATTCACGCAGCACCCAAGGTAAAACTCTGTCTGGTCTAACTGCTTTATTTCATCCTTGCTCCTTCAGTAATTTTTCCACTTTATCTTGAGATACCTCTATGTATTCTCTGGAATTGGCATTGTATCTGGGTTTCTGGGTGGACATTCCAGGTCTTCCTGGTGGCTTTGTCTGGCCTTGGGGTCATGTTTCGTGGCTGTTGTTATTTTGCCTTGATACCTGCAGTGCTTACTCCTCCATGGTTTGTGCCCTTTATTCCTTCTCCATGGGTAGATAACTTCTGGGAGTCACAAGAAGTTCCTCCCCAGAACACCAGCATTGAATGTAATGAAATGCCAATTTATGGGTGATCTCAGGTAGCTCCCTGACACCCTCCCTTCTGCTGGGTGTTAGAGTGGTTTCCATCATTGTAAAAACTGGTGGTGGAGCAGCTCATTGACCTGGGCTGCTTCCCTCCTCCCCCCAAACAAGGGGGGAAATTGGGGGTGAACTAGCTTGCACAAGTTTCACAAACTTTAATTATTTGTTTACATTGTTGGGGGAGTTCTTTTGGAGGTTTTGAGGCTCCTGTCTTGTTTCTATGCAAGCAGTTGTCTGGTTTGTTTCACTGATTTTCTGGGTACCTTTCCTTGGTGGTGGCAGACATGAATAACTTTACATACTGTAACAGTTTTTCATAGTGTCACCGCTCCCTTCTCTCTGAGGGGGTCAGGTTGTGGCTCGTGGTCCCTGGTAGGCCAATAAGAACTACACGACTGATAGTACTGTACTTGATAGTATGGCACTGTATCAGTGTAGTAGCTTCAGGGAACCACTGGGACTCGACCAGGAATTGGCACTTTAATACATTCATCGCTGGTTTTGTGATGAATTTGGCATGGAATAACCCTGTATGTAAATGAGCTGAGGGCACGAGCTCCATGGTAGTGTGGTAAGCTGGTTCTGCAAGTGTCACTTGTTGTGTTAGTACTGTGGCCTTCACACTCAGGATTGGTGCCCACGATTTTTTACAAGATGGCATTACTGGAGGCGTGAGGAAGCTGATGTGAGCATCGTGTACTTATAGGAGTGTCAACTGTTGCAAGGAAGAAACTCTGGATGGGATGTGCATCAGTAGTCAAACATCCCAGGATGTGACATATATGGCTGTGTTCTATCCATGACATTAAATATAATATTAAATTTATATTGAACAATATTGAACAGTATATTAAATTTATATTGTTTTCTGTTTCAGGTCTTTGTGAATGAGAACACTGATGTTGCTCGAAATTTACGTCAAGAATTTGTTCGCATCCGTAAAAATTATGAAAATTACCGAGAAGCCATGCTGGCATATCTTGTATCTCGGTCCTTCAGTCAGAATTGTATGGTCTTTGTTGAAACAAAGGTGAGAGGCCATAATATGTATTGTGAACTATTAATTATAAATACACATGTAAGATATGTTAAGTAAAATTATCATGTGATGTATTAAATGGACCAATTTACACAAAATTTGCTTGTTTCAAATGTTAAAAATGTAACAAAGTAAATGTCAGTGAGCAGAGCTTCAACAAGTATGCTGCATATATCTGTAGAAGATGAATTGTGCAATGGTGTTCAGTTATATGTATAGTGTCTCAGTATAGGAAGATGTGAGAGAAAGATACTCAGTTAAGTCTTTTAAACTCAGGTTATGGCACATCGTCTCAATATTCTGCTCGGGTTATTGGGAGTGAGATCTGGCGAGCTGCACGGCAACCTCAAACAGTCGGAGCGTCTTCTGGCACTCAAGAAATTCAGAGATGAGGAGGTTGCAGTACTAATTGCTACAGATGTTGCTGCCCGAGGTCTTGACATTAAAGGGGTCAAAACTGTAAGTTCATTATTATATTGCTTTACACACAGCACTTTTCTGGGGGGAACCACAGGGAGTGTTCCTTATGGCTCCCTGAAGTTAGTACAGTACTTACCTAGTTGTGCTTGTGAGGGTTGAGCTCTGGCTCTTTGGTCCCGCCTAGAGTATATAGTATATATGTATATATATATATATGTACTAGAGTATATAGTATATTCAGTATATATATGATATGGTGCCATCAGTCAGAGAATTCTATTTAGCCTACTGGGGACCATGAACCAGAACCTGGCCCCCTCAGAGGCACAGGGAGAAGTGGCACATATGAAAAATTTTATGTAAATCATTCATGTCTGCCACCACCAAGGGAAGGCACCCAGAAAGTCAGTGAAACAAAACCGGCAACTGTTTGGTTAGAAATAAGACCATAGCCACAAAACAGCCCAAAAGAACTCGCTCAACAATGTAAACAAATGATCAAAAATTTGTGAAACTAGCATGAGCGAGTTTGGCCCAGCTTCCCCCCCCCCCCTCCCCCCTATTGTGGAAATGAGGAACACTGACAGAGTCAGCTGGATGCTCCTCCACCAGCTCTTATTCTGATGTGTACGTGCCTGGTTCCCCCTCTCAGTTATCCAGTCTCCTGTTTTTAGCTAAGTGGTGTTTTGCCTTTGCAGCTTTTCCTGTGCATGGTTGGGCAGCGTAAACAAGGAGTATAATGTGCTTGGAGCTGCATGTGCTCACGGGTACCTTCCCTGTGTGCTCCTTTACCCTTGAATGGCGATAATTGTATATATACGATTTTGGTTTGACTTCATGCATGGCGCATATTGTATACAGTATTTACTTTTAAAGTACTGCGTAAGATTTAAAAGTGCCGTAGCTACACACGGTTCACATCAGCTTCCTAAGGAATCCAGTAACCAGACGCCATTTTTAAAAAATCGCGGGTACCAGTCCCAGGTGTGAAGGCCTCAGTACCGTGTGAGTAACCAAGGCTGGCACATGCAGCATGAGCTAACATCACTGCTGTTCAGCTTGTGACCACAGCATCGCTTAAATGTGTCAAAATATATATGTAGCTGCCATTATTTAGCAACGATAGTATTACAGAAGAGCCTGACTGTGATGAAAACTGTACAATGATTAGGTATCGGTGAACACAATAATGTTCAAGATGTTCACAGCACTAGGCAGGTAGCCATAGCACACTGCCATTGTTTGGTCCATCTAAGAATCTTGAAACTACTTCTCATGTTCCTTTACAAAATAATCTTGTGGAAAATTAATAATTTACTGGATTTAGTAACCAGGATTCTGATATCAGTAGCATTGAGGTGAAAATTATAATACTCATATAATTCCCATAGAATAGTGGGAGGAGGAATGTTGGTGAGGGAGGTGGCGTTGTCAGCTGACTGTGTGTGGCGACCACTATATTGTTTGGACTCGCCATACCAGCTTAGTGGTTTGTTAAGGTGAAGAAAAATGGAGATACTTATACATAACATGTTTATATAGTATACGTAATAACAATGAAAGCAGTATGCTGGGAGAGCCCCAAAGGCTCTGTGACACCCTCCCTCCCTCCCTCAGGGCATTGGTGTGTTTTATCATGTTAGAACTGAGGATGGGGCTAGCCGGCTGACCTGGTACGCATCCCTCTTCCCCCCCAAAGGAGGGGGGGGGGGCAAACTGCCCAGTGCTAGTTTCATGAAATTTTGGTTGTTGGTTTTCATTGATGGGCTGAGTTCTTTTGGCAGTTTTGAGGCTGTGGTCTCATTTTTAAATCATGCAGTAGTTTGTATTAGTTTGCCTATGTTTCTGGGGTGCTTTCTTGGTTGTGGCACATATGATTAAACTTTAAAGTTTTCATATGCCATCGCTCCCTGTGCATCTCTGAGGGGGGGCCAGGTTCTGGCTCATGGTCCCCAATAGGCCAATAGAACTCCACAACTGACGGCACCTGATACTATGGCACTGATCAGTGTATGATAGCTTCCGGGAACCTCCAGGACTCACCCCAGGAGGGTGAGCCTTTCATTACATTCAATGCTGGTTTTTCCTTACTTTATTTATTACAGTACCAGTGCTCATTAAAATAATGCATACAGTACTACTGTATGTGGTTTATTATATATAAAATGCTGTAATGCAGTGGAAAATACTGTATGCCTGAATATATTAAAACACTACATAGCATGGAGTGGTACATTTTTGCACTGTGATTTTGGATTTTCATTCAGGCTTTAGCTTTGTAACTTTCGAAATATTCCATAATATGAATTGTATAGCCTTATCTAAAATTGTTGTATGCTATTGATGTTTACTTAATTTTTTACAGTTTACATTTGGCCAACAACATAGTGTGACTTTAAATTTCCATTTTGTTCATGCATTACTGTACTATATGGTAATTAATTTGAACATCATTAAATATTGAAAAACAGTTATTATGCATTTGTCTTCAGATTCCTTATTCAGTGGAAAATGTTGAGTGTGTCGGTGAATGTGTAAGCTTTTTCCAACCATTTATAAGTAACATTTTAGCTTAAGGCCAAAACACATAATAATGTTCTCTTTCTGGTGGCTTTTCTTTCATTATTAAACTTGTATGTCTTCATATCTCTTATCTTTCCAGATCATAAATTTTACATTGCCTAATAAATACACTCGTTATGTTCATCGTGTTGGCCGAACTGCCCGAGCTGGTCACTGTGGTCGCTCTGTTAGCTTGGCTGGCGAACATGAATTTCTGATGTTGAAAGAAATCAAGAGATGCTCCAAAACTGCAATGTTTGAGAGAATGTTGAACATTGGTATGGATAAATTTTCTCATATGTTTGGTTTATTATGCTTACTATTTTAATTTTTTACTGCAGCAAAATATTGGACCATCCTTGTGACAAAAGTTAAAAGTTACAGTGAAAGTTTAACAGAAAAAATGTCAGTGTAATTATTGGAGAAGATTTAATTTATGTCTAATTGATTACAGGAGTCGTCTGTACATAATGAACATTGATTTATTATACGTGAGCAAATAAATTCATGTTGCATATTTTCAATACTTGCAGACATACTTGAGAAGTACAAGACCAAGCTGGACAAATTAGAGCCAACTGTGAAACGTGTTCTTGAAGAAGAGCTGGAAGAGAAGAAGTTGCGAGCAATGGAGCAATCTATTCAGACAATGGAGAATAAAATCAAAGGGACAGTTGAAGTTAAGCCAGAGAGAAAGTGGTTTCAAACAGATGAAGAAATGAATGCTAAAAAGAGTAAGTTTGGAATATGGTCAAAACATTCAGATTATTCTTGCAATGTGCCTCAAAGTTATGAAATGTGATTATTTTTAATATGTATTTAGCTACCCTATAGCAATATTACATTCTCATTTATTGTGCATAAAGGGGTATGTCGCCATCAGTTTTGAAATTGTGGATCGGTCTGGCATCTTCAACATCTTTATTTAAAGTTCAGTATTCCACTTGTTGACCAGCCATGCCATGTATGAATTGTATGTTTCCAGCCTTTCTTCAGTTTTTTTATTCACTTATGTTTACAACTCCCACTGAAGTCTTCTTGTCCTCTTTTCTTTCAATATAGGGACTGTTTTTCAACCTCAGTTCTCCTCTCTTCTCCTCAATATCTTTTTTGGGAAGGCTCTTATCAGTGGCTCCCTGTTTCTACATCCTTGATAGTTTCTCCCAGTATGAGTTGCATAAGGCCTTCTTGAGTCCTAAAAGTCTGCCCCTCAAAGAGGTGCAAGAAGCAGAAGATCCAAGATCGCTCTTAATTTAACACTTTTCCTGGGCGGGGACACATATTGCGTCCATAAATATATCTACGGATTTTGAGCGGGGACGCATGTTGTGTCCACAATTAAAATATTCGTTAAAAATCCATTTTTCTTCCAATCATTATGGGACTAGTTTTAAATTGTTAAAAGTTTTAAAATTAAAATTGAGGTGAGAAAACTGGAAAGCGTATAAATATTTGTGCAGTGGTGAGCGTCCAAAATTAAAATTTGTTAAAATTCCGTTTATTGTTCGGTTATAGGACTAGTTTTAAAATGCATTCCATTTGATTGCGAACATTTTGATACCAAAATGAACGACGTAGCACTAAAATTGAGTTCCCTTTTGTGATTTTGAGTAGGCTGCTTGCTCGTCTTGTATCACATCTTTGCTCTTCAAGTCTTGGTTTTTCAGATAAGTGAAGCCATTCTTTGAACATTGTCCTCTAGAAGCTATTTTGCTTTCATATTTTTGGTATATTCAAGTCATGCGTGTTGTTACAAGCCTCTTTTGCTTTGGGAACTTGAGAAACTGTTGACCTTGGATTGCTTGTGCTTAACCACTGCACTGCGCAGAGCACCTTGTGGCGCTAGATCGAGGGTGCGCAGAGCACCATGTGGCATTTTTAAGTATGGGAGCGATTCAAAACTCCCATGGGTACACAGGGCTCACATCCTGTCTCAAGATTCCTGTAAACAGACGCCATTTAAAAAAAAAATAGTTGGTAACATTTCCGGGTGTGAAAGCTTCATAACTAAGTGAGCAACCAAGGCTGGTACATGCAGCATGACCTAACAACACTACTGTTCAGCTTGTGACCACTGCATTGCCGAAAAATGTAAAAATATATATGTAACTGTTATTATTTAGCAATGATAGTATTACAGAAGACCTGTGACTGATAATAATGACCAGGATTCTGATAATAGCAGGATTGTGGTGATAATTAGTGCTATGTGTAGTATGGTGGGAGGAGTAATCTTGGTGAGGGAGGAAGGGAGAGGTAGCGTCATCTGCTGATTCTGTATGGCAACCTGTTATTGTCTGGACGCACCATACCAACTTGGTGGTTCACTATAGTGAACACAAATGTAGATACTTGTATATAACATGTGTATAGAGTATAATAACAGCAAAAGGAGTATGGTGGGAGGAGCCATTTTGGTGAGGGAGGAAGTGATGTGCTGTGTCACATCATGCAGTTTTTTGTGGCTACTATGCTGTTTGGACACCATACCAGCTTAGTTGTATGGTTATGGTGAATAAAACATGTAGATACTTGTATATAATTTGTGTATATAGTGGAGTATGGTGGGAGGAGGAATGTTGTCGAGTGAGGTGTTGGTGAAGGAGGGAGGGAGGTGGCGTCTGCTAGCTGGTGTGTGGCAGCCACTCTTGTTGTTTGGACTCATAATACCAACTTGGTGGTTCATTATAGTGAACACATACGTAGATAGGCATACACAACATATGTATATAGTGTAATAACAGCAAAAACACTGTTTGATTAATCGTAGAATATAATATACATAACATGTCATATATATGAACCCCATAACTTTGAGCATAGCGATATTCCACACATTGAACTACAGTATGTAAATTCCACAAATTGCACACTCTTGAAAAATATTACAGCAAAAAATGAGAGACGAAACTAATGAGAAACATCAAAATAATTGTGAATAATGATATTCGCAGCAACTGCTGCCGGTGGTGGGGCCGAGTGACCTGGAGTGTTCCATCACTCGGCGCTCATAATTTGCTCAACTTCTCTGCTCCATCACGGCTAAAGTATGTCACATACAACATTTTATTTTAGTTTCCCATGATCAGAGACTGCAATTTAACAATATAATAAGAGAAAATAATTTTTTGCAAAGAATTTATTTTTGGTGCTCTACAGGAATGTCATATTTTAGTGCCACACAGCACAGTGGCTAACACTGCCCTTGCCTTGGTGTTTGCTGTTGTTGCCTTTGCCGTAACTAGAGCAGAATACAGCTCTGCTACAGTTTTCACTAGCAACTTCCAGTCCTGTGGGGAGCCCAAGGTGGGTCTCTCGGTATCCTTCCTAGTCTTTAGATCCATCTACGGAAGGCTTTTCACTCTGGACGGAGGACTTCATCTGTCCTCCGTCTGTCATGTTTGAGCTTGATTCCTCGGCAGCTGCTCCCTAGGTTTGTGTCCATGTACAGTACTGTTAAAGTCCTTGGATGTGTCATATTTCTGGAGGGTTTTCATCATCCCACCTTACACTATTTTCAGGTCATTCAGCCTTATTTTGGTTCCTCCTGGGAGTTGAGGAGCTCGCTACATTGATGGGACCTGGTCTCGTTTGAGTTTGGGTCAACTTTGGCACCTTTTGACTGTTGTATGAGGTCCAAAATTCTTTCTGGCTTGTGGACAACCCTTTGTTTTCCTTGGAGGCTTTGCATAGCCTTTTCAGTATACAGACATTTAGGTGGCGAGAAGTGAATTCCTTTGGGTATTCTTGGGCAGAGCACCATTTTGTACCACTATAGGATTGCCTGTTTGTTCTGGTTATGCCCAAGGATGTGGATATGTGGAGCTTTAAGTGCAACTTCATATGGTTTTTGGAGCCCAGTCCACAGAGGATCAAAGGGACCATGCTTACTTGACTGCCATTTTGCACGTTTAGGCTGTGATTGAGCTGTTCTCCAACCAGCTTCGGGGCAGCCAGGATATGTTTGGTTTGATGCTGGATGACACTGCCTTGTTACCAGCTGTTCTGGCTTTGGCAGCTGTGTCCAGATTGCTCGCTGATCGCCTTTGCAAAACAGTGGTGGATTTTTCTAGGGGGGGGGAGCCCCTTGTAGCTCCCTGAAGCTCTCATTGATAATAGGTCGCATGAGCCACAGAATTCTGTGGCCTACCAGAGACCATATTTAGAACCTGGCTCTCTCACAGAGGCACAGGGAGCAGTGACTTTATGTATTTATTTATGTTACCACAAGAGCAACCAGAAAGTCATTAAGACAAAATAAACCACTGCTAACTTCAGTAGAGACCACAGCCTCTAAAACCGATGAAAGAACTCCCACCAACTATGTAGATAAACTATTGAAATATCTGCAAACTAGGGCAGGCTCTCTTGCCCCGCCTCCTATTTGTTTGGAGGGAGGAGTGAGGCAGCCCACAGTCAATCAGCTCGCCCACACTTGCTCCAGCTCTGGTGTTCTGCTATTCAGCTAAGTTGTACATTTTGTTCCTGTGGCAGTTTTTGTACACTATGGTGTAGCATGAGCAAAAAGTTTGGAGTGCTTGGAGCTGCATGTGCACATGGTTATTCTCCTGTGTGTTCCCCAGTACTGCCCTTGCATTGCCAGGATTTTCTTCCCTGGATTGTTTGGGAGAGGCTTCTTTAGAGGTCCTCCTCACATGTGGTGGCCCCTTGCCCAGGCTAGGCCAGGTGTCCTAGGTTTTCCTGTCCTTACTTGGATCAGGAGCAACTCATTGGTTGCTGGGGTGCACTGGTTACTGGCATGCTGTACCACAGCATGTTTAGGTCAGCTTTCACAAACCAGTGGACAGGACTGTGTCTATGACTGTGTTAGACATGGGGCTGTATACATTCCTGTATATCATATCTGAAATGATTGAATTCTAGTATCCATATCTAATTATACATTGTAATAATAGTCCTTTGTGTGACTTTTATAAAGCTGCAAACATTGCATTTGCCTCATTTAGGAGACAAGTTAGAAAGTTGACTTTGTTTTGTGTCTTTTGATGCCTTTAGTATGTTGGCAAATAAGAAAATTGTTTTCCTTCCTACCCCCTATCCCCATGCACAGTCCCATCTCCTGGCTCCCATCCCCTCACATGGTCCCTGTCCCCCATCCCCTCACATGGTCTCTACCCCCCATCCCCTCACATGGTCCCTGCCCCCCATCCCCTCACATGGTCTCTACCCCCCATCCCCTCACATGGTCCCTGCCCCCATCCCCTCACATGGTCGCCTTCCCCCTGCTTCCCATCCTCTCATACTGTCCCCTCTGTATGACAAATATATTAAATAAAAATTTATTTAAATAATTTTAGTATCTGGTGAAGCAAGTTAAGAGCATCATGGTCGTGCAAGTCTCAACACGTGCACACAAATAAATGATAGACATAGTGCTGAATGACCTGACTGGCTCGAGTGTCTGTTCCCGGGCCTAGATTCCAACATAACACCAGTGTGGCAAATATATTCTGCTGCTTACTCTCGGTGAGTAAGGAGAAGGTAGGAATGGTTAAGTCTTAACCCTTGTATGGCGCCTGGCTATTTAGCATGTCGCCCACAGACGCATACCAAAAAAAAAAATTATTTTTTTCTTCTAAACCAGTTAATTTGTGTTCACTGATCATGGGAAAAATAATAAAAAAATCGTAAGTGGCATATATTGCCCGCTATAGGGCGGGGAAGTCTGGCAAAAAACAGGCGATGACTCAGCGTGCGTCCCAGACGGTCTGTTGCTCGCCAGCTGTCAGGCCGGAGTTGCCACAAGGAGATAATTACCTAATTATTTCAATGTCTCTGATTGAATTTTTGTAGTTTTTTGCTGTAATATTATTCAATAGTGTGTAGTGTGATATATTTATATAATAAAATGAGTGAATCATCGCTGTACTCAAAAATATGGTGTGCATATTGTTGATTCAATTATGTTCATTAAACAGTGAACAAATACTTTGCCAGTTATTACACTATATACACAGGTTATATATAAGTATCTGCATGTTTTGTTCACCATAACAAACCACTAAGTTGCTGTTATGAGTCAAAAAGTAACGAGGAGTGACCGCCACACACCAGCCAGCCACTCGCTGCCACTCACTCCCTCAACACCTCACTCGCCCACATTCTCCTCCCACCATACTGTTTTTGCTTTTATTCACTATATACAGACATTATATATAAGTATCTACATTCGTGTTCACCATAACGAACCACTAAGTTGGTATGCTGAGTGGCAGCCAGTGGCAGTCCGCCACTGGCTGCCACTCCCTCCCTCCCTCACCTCACCTGGCTTGCCACCATTCTCTTCCCACCATACTGTTTTTGCTTTTATATATAGACGTTATATATACAAGTATTTACATGTTTTGTTCACCATAACTGTACATCTAAGCTTGTATGGTGAGTAAAGGCACAAAGATGTAGCTACTCACCCAGTCAGCTGGTGGCGGCCACCCTCAAGGCCAGACGCACTAATATTTCTCGTCCAACAGTACTGTTTGTGGTGTTATTACGCTATATACACACATTATATATAAGTATCTACCTGTTTTATTCACCATACTTGTACAAGTAAACTGGTATGGTGCCCAAAGACCATAGTGGTCACCTGTAAACATGATAAGTCGTGCAGACGACGCACCTCCCTCACCAAAATGGCGGCTCCCAACCTACTCCTATTGCTGTTATTACACTCTATACACAGGTTATATATAAGTATCTACATTTGTGTTCACCATAGAGAACTAAGCTGGCATGATGAGTGCAGTCAATAAAAGGTGGCCCCACACAGTCAGAAGACGACGCCACCACCCTCCCTCCCACAACATTACTTCTCCCTCCATGAAGCACAGTGCTAAATATCACCACAATCCTGCTATTATCAGAACTCTGGTCAGTTTTATCACAGTCAGGGGGCTTCTGTAATAATATCATCGCTAAATAATAGCATGCAAATGTATATTATGGCATTTTTAGGCGATGCTGTGGTCACAAGCTGAACAGCAGTGCTGTGAGCTCATGCTGCATGCGTCAGGCTTGGTAGCTCACTCAATACTGAGGCCCCTTACAACCGGGAATTTGGCCCACAATTTTTTTTAATAATGGCGTCTGTTTACAAGAGCCCTGATGAAGGTGTGGTGAATCCCGTGTATCCGCGGGCCGTTTAAATCTTGCGCGGTACTCCAAAACATCATATGATGCCGAGCGCAAGTTACTGCAAGTCACTCAACGCATCATATGATGTCTTGTGCAACTAAACGGTTAAGGAGAGTGTTGAAGTGCTGGTCATTTATTGTGTTCATTGTGGCACTAAATAATTTATATATTATTTTCCTTGACAGAAAAGCTAAGCGACTCTAGTAAACTGAAGAGGGCAACAGGAAAGGCTCAGAAGAGAAAAAGACAGATGCTAAATGAGAGTGACCCTGCAGAAAAGAAAATTATGACTCAGATGAGGCTATCTTGTCATGTAGCCAAGAAAGCTAATAAACTTGGACGTCTTAATGCTGTTCAAGAAGACACACACATACAATTTAAAAAGAGTAAGTAAATAACTTTATTTTTATGATGTTTTTGCATATCTGGTTATGTATTTGTTTAAGCTGATGAAGCTTCTCAAAACTAATTAGTATGTTTTAAGAGTTGTGTGTGTTTGTGTATGTAATAGTTGACATGACTGTTACAAGACAACTTGACACACACAAACTGCAGATGAGTGTGTGTGTGGCAACCATACACACTTGCATGTTTGGCAGGTCACAATCCAACATAAACAAAGTGGTAAGAAATGCAACATGGGGTTTGTTTATTCTCATCCCAAGATGTACAGTAGTTTGATTCAAAATGTTGCTCAGTCATTTTGTCACTCCTCAATTGGGATGATTGACGTTATGGCTGAAGGTATAAATTGTACTGATGCTGCTTTAATATGTAGGTTAAATTAACCATCTGCACAATTTGGTGCTTAAACTTTTCTAGGGAAGCCCCCCTTTGTGAATCTCTGAAGCTATTACACTGATACAGTGCCATACTACTAGGCTCCATCAGTTGCAATAGTCCGGAACCTGGCCCCCTCAGAGAGGTGCAGGAAACAATGGTACTATGAAAACCTTACATTTAAAGTTTTCATGTCTGCCACAACCAGGAAAAGCACCCAGGAAGTCAGCCTCCACAACCAAAGTAATCTTTTGGAAGCCTGCCATCTCATTCTTTGCCAGAAAAGGAGCAGCAGGCTGCAAATGAACAAAACAACCACCAGGACTAAAAGAACAAAGTTCCCAGCACTGGAGCGGAGTATGAAGCTTACGAACCCAACAACCTGTGGCCAAGGCAATAAAAACCAAAGCCTTCCAGTAGCAATCATAGACCAAAGGGGCCACCATGACCTGAGCAGAAGAAAGATAAGTAGGAACCAAGTCCAAGGACCTGGCAGGCTCAGGCGGTGCATGAGTCTGCCAGAGTTGAAACAAAGCCTGAGAAAGCTTTGAGATCTAGGTAACCCATCCAAGCATCTGGCACGAGAATGAGCTGACCTGGGCCAAACTAAGTTATCCGAAAAGCCAGGAATTAACCAATTCAAACGAGACAAGTCCAGAATGTACTGGAGATCCACACCGTTCTGTTTCAAGACCGGAAACAGACGGGAAACCCACCGAAGAGACAGGGTTGTTTTGACCATGCCCAAACGAACCCACTCTGAAATGACCTGACGGATGGAGGGGAAGAGGCCTGCCCCACCAGACCTGAACTGCCCTAAGGAGGAATGGCTGTAGAATGCCACCCGCTTGCCCTGCCCACCTACTCTCCATTCTATTGCCCTCCCAAATTATGACTAAAAAGTTGCCGACATTTCAGTACCTCTGGATTTAGCAGAGCCCTGAATTTAACAACATGGATATAGACTCAAAGGTTGTTAAATTGTGTGGAAACTGTAGTGTGTTTGTCAACGACTTGTTGCAGGTTCCACCCTTATCCATCTGAGATAGCAAGTTATTGATAAGGTTTTCAGTACAGTTCAGCAATATACAATGAGTAATAATTTTTATATTTTTCCCTAACAGATAAACCAGAGAAGAATAAAAAAATTGGACCTAAATCTTCATTTGACCAAGAGCTTACTAGAACAGATAGAAAATCTGTTAAAATGTTCCGACATGGACCGTCATACCATGAACGAAAGGAAGCATTCCAATCCAAAAATCCTGGAAAAAAGTTCAAACCGAAACGAAAGAAGTGAGGAAAAAGTTGCATTGATGTAGCTGGAACCAATAAAAAACTTTGTTAAAGCAAAAAAGTTGACTATTTGATTTGAGTAATATAGGCCCATAGTTTTTTTTCAATAATTCATATAGATATTTTGCAAAATCCTGATTTTATCTGAAGGAACAACAACAAAAAAAGATGTGATATAGTTTTATACTGTTTAACTACACTATTGTAGTTCCAAATGAAATAATTTGTTAAAAATTTTCTGAAGCAATGCCAGGGTCATAGGTTCACGCCCACCTATAATCCCAATGGATTTTCTCAATAATAATTTATTGAGTAGTAATAATAATAATAATAAATCTTAACTCAGTTCTGTTGTTAGACATGGTAGACTATTGGCAACCATTGTTTTTATATATTTTATTGGCACTTGAGATGTTGATGTTTTACAAGCTAGAGTGGATGAGCCATGTTATATCCTTCCTCAGCACTCCCGCCCCCAGCTGTGAAACACATCTGGTGTGCAGGAGCTGTAATTGAAAATATCTGTTTTATGGATGTAATTTACATATATTGTAAGACATTATTAATAAATTTATTTAAATCACAAAGTATTTTTAATTCCCTCCACTTTTCAGGGTTACCTTGTGTACACCTCGGCTTAAGGGTTGCCGAGGGTTTAATATGTTGTAGTCTTAAAGTAGTCCAATATAAGAACAGTTTAAAAAAGTATATTATTCTTAATAAACATTGACTAACTACAATTTAGCTTTTGGCAGATTTATTTGCTATAATCTACCATAAGTAAAGCCCAGTTGAAGTTATACTATAAATATTAGGAGAGAAGATAGTTGGGACCACAACTTATAGCTTTTACAGTCATCCTCTAGCCACTCAGAATGAGTTAAATAATAGATAGGATGAAAAAACAAGGCTCCTTGACTTCATGCTTCATCAGGAGGATGAAGCATGAAGTTAGCACTATTCACACTTGGCTTCATCAGGAGGATGACTGACATGCTTTTTACTGAATACGAACTAGACTCTGCATAAAGGCAAAGCTACATCTCCCAGGGAGGATAGAGTTACGACATACTGTGTGTGCTTCTGCTAGTGCCAAGAAATCCTTTGCTTGAATTGTATAATATGAGCTATGAAACTGGGGAGCTTCAATAGTCATGGACAACAACCTTATTATTCCCATTCCTAATCTTAACCAGCAGTGTTTCTTGCCCAATCTCCCTCACTAGTTGTCTTTGTAAGTGTCTTGAGAGGATGGTTCTAAACCGTCTCCTTTATAGAATTAGTAACTTGTTGTCTCCCCAGATACATGGCTTCATGCATGGAAAGAGTGTACATCACTATTACCTCTTTCCTCAACCTGCATACTGTAGGGTAATATACCACTTTCCTAGATCTTAAATCAGCCTTTGACATTGCTAACCTACCCTTCATTCTGAGCAAACTTTGCTCCTATGGTGGATAAGAGGCTATCTATCCAACTGCTCCAAGGACACAGGAGTGTAACGAGAGATTTGAACTGGGTACTCCACAGGGAGGTGTCTTCAGTCCTACTCTGTTCAATGTGTTAATCAATGCACTCCTAAACTCAGTAATTAGGAGGCCCAGCAAACATCATTAGCTATGCGGATGATATACTGATCCAACATCAATGGGTATACCAACACCCAAAATGTTCTGAACTCGACTGAACACATGTCAGGAATTAGGCTTAGTCATCTCAGTTGAGAAAAATATCCTGAGCCGACACCCACCCAGACGGGGTGGGGCTGTTTGCAAGATGCAGCTGCATGATGGCTCTCTGCTCGATCATGTAACCAGATACAATTACCTTGGTCTTGAGGTTCCACTGTACCGCAATGTTGTAGCCAGACTGGGTCGTCAATGTAGAGAGAGGCTCCGTGCTCTCAAGGCTGTGGCAGGCTATCATCCAAGCTATGGTGCAAATGTGAGAAATGGCTAAATGATGTATCTCTCATATATTCGATCTGATCGATTATGCTGCACCTATGCTTGCTCTAGTGCCTGAGAGAATGCTTGGAGGGCTGAAAAAGATGCAAAACCAAGTCATGAGGATTATCCTCGGATGCTCCCGTACAACTAAATTACTAAACATGAAGGAACTGAATATTTCATGTGTAAGTGATCGTATCACTGAAATTAATGCTTTAATTGGTATCAAGATGCTTAGGCTAACCCACCCTAACCCCTGCACTGAAGCCCTCCAAGCCTTCTTCCTTGAAGGTCAACATCCCTCCAAATGGATTACCAAAACCGCCACTGTGCTCAGATTGTATAATATTCATCTCACCTCTACCAAGAGAGACAAAAACGACACTTTCCTGCCCCATTGAAGATCACCCCATTCCAAATAACTGTTCTTCCCTTTCCCTCCCAAGAAGCTGATTAAAGAACAACCCTTGCTTCGACAAGGAGCAACGTATAACGCCTTAAGTCAAATTGATGCTTTGGTCAGTGAATGCTCCCTTTCCCAAATTATTTACACTGATGGCTCCTTGCACTAGTCCTATAGTGCAAGGACTGGAACCATCTCTCGCTGCCACAACAACTGCACTTTCAGCAGTTGTGGCAGCGAGAGATGGTTCCTTCTATGAGTGTGGAGCGCCGTATAAATAACTGAGCCTTCACTCTTAAAAAAATTATGGGCTATTCACGCCCGGGGGTTCTGGGAGTTCTTCTACTCCCCAAGCCCGGCCCGAGACCAAGCTTGACTTGTGAGAGTTTGGTCCACCAGGCTGTTGCTTGGAGCGGCCCGCAGGCCCACATACCCGTCCACACCGGGTTATCCGGCACTCCTTGAAGAAAACAATCTAGTTCTCTCTTGAAGATGTCTACTGTTGTTCCGGCAATATTTCTGATGCTCGCTGGTAGGAGGTTGAACAACCGCGGACCTCTGATGTTTATACAGTGTTCTCTGATTTTGCCTATGGCACCTCTGTTCTTCACTGGTTCTATTCTGCATTTTCTTCCATATCGTTCACTCCAGTACGATGTTATTTTACTGTGTAGATTTGGGACCTGACCCTCCAGTATTTTCCATTATATTATTTGGTATCTCTCGTCTCCTTTCTAGTGAGTACATTTGGAGAGCTTTGAGACGATCCCAATAATTTAGGTGCTTTATCTCGTCTATGCGTGCCGTATATGTTCTCTGTATTCCCTCTATTTCAGCAATCTCTCCTGCTCTGAAGGGGGAAGTGAGTACTGAGCAGTACTCAAGACGGGACAACACAAATGATTTGAAGAGTACAACCATTGTGATGGGATCTCTGGACTTGAAGGTTCTCTTAATCCATCCTATCATTTTTCTGGCTGACGCAATACTTGCTTGGTTATGCTCCCTAAACGTTAGGTCGTCGGACATCATTATTTCGAAATCCTTGACATGCTGTTTTCCTACTGTGGGCAGACGCGATTGTGTTTTGTACCCTGTATTATGTTTCATATCTTCATTTTTGCCGTACCTGAGTACCTGGAATTTATCACCGTTAAACATCATGTTATTTTCTGCTGCCCAATCCAAAACTTTGTTAATGTCTGTTTGTAGTTTTTCAATGTCTTCAGCAGAGGTAATTTTCATGCTGATTTTTGTATCATCTGCAAAGGATGACACGAAGCTGTGACTTGTATTTTTGTCTATATCTGATCCAATAGGTCCAATACTGGCAGTGGTTTTTGCTTTTGATTTAGCATATGTGAAGAAATATTTTGGGGTTTTCTTTATTTCTTGAATTGCTTTCTGTTCTAGTTGCCTTTCTTCAATCTGATAGGAATGCTTCAGTCTCTGTTCGATTTCTTCAATCTCCCTGTTTAAATTATTTCTTCTTTGTATGGAGAGTCGTGTCTGCTTAAGCATTTCCGTTAATTTCTTCCTTCTTTTGTAATGTCGTCAGCGTTCTCTTTCTACATTTGATCTCTTTCTGACTTTCCTCAAAGGTACATGTTTTATACAGACTTCATATGCTTCAGAAGTCAGTTTTTCTATTCCTTGTGTAGGATTTTTATGTCTTAGAACATTTTCCCATAGAATGTTTGTAAATTCCCTGTTTATTTTCTCCCAGTCTATCCTTTTATTATTAAAATTGATTTATTGAATAACCCTTCTCGCTTGTTGTTTCTCTTGGGCCTACTACCGTTATTAATGTTAGTTTGCACTTCCATGAGCTTGTGGTCCGAGTACGTAGTGTCTGAGACAGTAATGTCTCTGATTAGCTCATCATTGTTCGTGAATATCAGGTCCAGCGCGTTTTCGTTCCTAGTTCTGTAATCTGCTGACTGAGCGGGAATTTGTCACAGAATCTCAGTAGTTCTCTGCCTCTGTAGTTGATTATTTCCAGGTTGATTTCCTGCTATAATGTTATTGTTTACTATTCTCCGTTTTAAACTAGGTAGACTGAAGTCTCCAAGGAAGATAATATCTGGTACTGGGTTTGCTAGGTTATCAAGGATATTCTCTATTTTGTGGATCTGTTCAGTGAATTCCTCAACTGTTGCATCTGGCGGTTTGTATATTAAAATAATAAGTAGAATAATATTCTTTACCTTGATTCCACTTACCTCTACCACCTCATTGGACGAATTCGGGAGCTCTGTGCATGCCAGCTCCTCTTTAATATACAGACCTACTCCTCCACTTGATCTAATTAATCTGTCACATCTATATAGATTATAATTCGGAATCCAGATTTCACTATCCATGTGGTCTTTTGTGTGGGTTTCTGTAAATGCACCAAATATTGAGTTCGATTCTATTTGGAGTTAATTTATGAACTTAACTCTATTTTTTTATTTTGGTTTCAAGCTTGTGAACATTTCATGTTTACAAATATGAATGAATTCCCACATTGTGTGTCACCTCTGGCGGGCCTTGGCAGTTCCCCCCCCCCACTCTACCCAGGTCCAGGGTGTGTTGTTTTGGAAGTGGTTTGTCCAGTTTGGGTAGTAGGACGGGTGTGGTGTAGTACCTGTGTGCTTGTTGATAATTTGTATTCCAGTCGTGTGGGTATCTCGAGAAACAATGGGCAGAGTTTCTTTCACCCTATGCCCCTGTTACCTAGCAGTAAACAGGTACCTGGGTGTTAGTCAGCTGTCACGGGGTGCTTCCTGGGGGTGGAGGCCTGGTCGAGGACCGGGCCGCGGGGACACTAAAAAGCCTCGAAAATCATCTCAAGATAACCTCTCAAGAGGAGATCTCCCTTCCCCTCTGTAATCCTGTAGTGGTTCCATCTGACTGTTCGTCTCTCTTATATTTTCTACTCTGTTTCTGCCTTCCTCTAAAAAAAACTTCCAGTAGTGTCATATTGATCTTCCAGTCTATAACGCTCTGTACCTCTCACATGGAATTCCGGACACTGAGGATTGTAGCATTTTTTGTCCCTAATTGAAAATTTACATAATTTAGGGTGGAAGTATGTACACCTCGTTCCAAAACGACATGTACCCCTCGCCAACATGTTCCTGCATTTTCGAGGATGCAGATAATTGCATTTTGCTCCTAATTTTCCATATTTGCCTTTAGCGTAGAATTTGCAAATATGTTCCGGTTGTGCGTTTTTCAAGGTATTTATACCTGTGTCTGTCTTGTCTACCTCTTTATTGGAGCCATCTCAGTTTTTCGTCCCAATTCCTTCATTTATGCACTCTGTCTCACTGTTGCTCTCATTGTTTATATTACCTGGCTCTGTAATATTGCTGTTATTTTGTACCACAATACCCTCTTCCCCCACACTACTGCTGCGGTTCTCTAAACTATCTGTTCCTGAGTTTTGGTCGTTATCCAATGTTGTCTTTTCCCAGTCCGCATATATCACTGGTAGCCTGTCTGTGAATGATAATCTCTGTGACTCGGGAATGTTTTTCATCAGTTTAGTTATGTTCTCCAACATTAATCTGTCATCTTTGCAAACCCAGTAAATTCCTTGCCTTTTTGTGCATCCTGGAGATAATTCTGCACAGCCCAGGTGAAATCTTTTGTTCCAGATGCAACACTTTGCGCTGGTCCCCGGTCGGTACAGGTGACCTCTTGTTGTCCCAGGTTGATGTCACCAGTTTCCAGTTACTCGATTTATAACAATTCAATTCAATTTCTTTCTGTATTATGCACCCCATACCCATCCCGTGGGCGGTGGTGTAAAGGATTACAGAGGCACATAATTGGTTCAGGAACTGAACTCTCTAGTTCGTTTAGCTAAGCAAATAACAATGTTTGACGCTAGTTACAAAATTATCAATGTTGTATACACATGTACACACCCTCATACATACATGTACATATATATATACGTATACATATATACATACACATACATATCTAATCACCCACACAAATACACACATCAATAATCTTTATGTCACAAGTGACACAAAGAGGTGTCACACTGACGCAAAGTATGTGAATAGTTCTGCTGACAGAGTTTACATTTAATCATGTGGCTGTGGTTCTTTTCCACAGCCCATAAAACGGAGGAACGGGTCCTGAAAGATATTGTCAGTAGAAACGTTATCCCTACAGACAAAAATCAGAAGATACAACTGACGATTTACTATAAAACCAGGAAAACGGCCAGCCCACTCATGAGAAACTCTCCAGACACAAAGCAGAACGCTTTAAAAGAGACCAACGTCGTCTATGCCTTCAAATGCCCTCTTGGGGACTGTAAGCCTCAAAAAACCCAGTATATAGGCAAGACAACAACATCTCTTTCCAGGCGTTTAACGATGCATAAGCAACAGCAGGGCTCCATTAAGGAACATATAATCTCTTCCCACAAACAAACCATCACCAGAGAAATCTTAGCAAACAACACAGAAATCATCGATAGATACAGCGATAGCAGGCGGCTTGACGTCTGCGAGGCACTACACATCAAGAAGTCAACACCAGCAATCAACAGCCAATTAATGCACAACTATATTCTACCCACTTCAAGACTCCGCTCCAATATAGACGCATCAAGAAATATGGACCAATAGGCTTTCTACAATTACTTCCATTCAATACCCATTGTTTCGTGTTCTGTCTTGTGTTTGAATTTAATACCCATTCAATACCCATTGTTGAAAGTTTGTTTTCACCTCATCCACCTCACCCAAATGTAGATAAAAACTCGAAGATGTGTAAGCTCTATTCAGTTTCAGTTGTGTGTTTGTAAAACTAAAGTCTTTGAAAATGTAATAAGTTTTACGAAACGCGCTCAAGTGTCGCGTCAGACTAGAAATAAAAATGAATTTTGGAGAATTGATCTTTGAATTACCATCAACAGTGAAAAGAAACGTAAGAAAGATAGAGAAAATTCGTGTTAGAATTATTAATCTTACTTTTTCGGTCATATTTAATAATATATGTCTACAGGAAAGACTGCTACCAAAATATACTAAAATATATATATATATATATATATATATATATATATATATATATATATATATATATATATATATATATATATATATATATATATATATATATATATATATATATATATATATATATATATATATATATATATATATATATATATATATATATATATATATATATATATATATATATATATATATATATATATATATATATATATATATATATATATATATATATATATATATATAATATATATATATATATATATATATATATATATATATATATATATATATATATATATATATATATATATATATATATTATATATATATATATATATATATATATATATATATATATATATATATATATATATATATATATATATATATATATATATATATATATATATATATATATATATATATATATAATAATACATTAGGTAAAAGCTGATCTGGTAGTATTTTACCTAATATATACTTTTACTGATATTCTTATCAGTTTACACGCACACTCAATGGCAGAATATTTTATATATTATTTTTTAGTTCATTACAAACCAGACACCATTTCCCTATTACATATTGTTGGTAGGAAGGTGAAGGAAAACAAGATGTGGGTATGAGTGAGAGACGAGTTGTGAGGCGTGTGAAGCAGTGAGCTACTGGTGGAGGTGAGTCTTCATGTGACAACTAGTTAAAGAGTCCATTAATGTATAAGGTAGAGGAGGCGGGGAGGACGGGTGGTGTTGGGGGGCCGGGGAAGGGGATCCCGCCCCGCCTCACTCGCATCCAACCTGCTTCTGGAGGATCGTACAAGCTGCTCGCGCCTCTCCCGCCCACACTCCACTCCTCTATAGTCATCATATCAACAAATAAGCCGACGATGGCGAAAACTTACGACTATCTCTTTAAACTTTTATTAATTGGGGATTCCGGGGTCGGGAAGACATGCGTGCTCTTCAGATTTTCAGAGGACGCATTTAATTCGACGTTCATCTCGACTATAGGTAAGGATAAGAGCAGGGGAGGGAGTGAGGTCTGGAGGTCTGGAGGGAGTGTGGGTGGCTCAGAGGGCCTCTAGTCTGGTCCTCCACCCGACACCTGAGGTCAACCTCCTTCACTCAGGAAGGTCACAAGGGTGGTCTGGGTGGCTCAGAGGGCCTCTAGCCTGGTCCTCCACTCCACACCCGAGGTCAGCTTCCTTCACTCAGGAAGGTCACAAGGGTGGTCTGGGTGGCTCAGAGGGCCTCTAGCCTGGTCCTCCACTCCACACCCGAGGTCAGCTTCCTTCACTCAGGAAGGTCACAAGGGTGGTCTGGCTCAGTGGTCCTCCACTCCACACCCGAGGTCAGCTTCCTTCACTCAGGAAGGTAGGGTGGTCTGGGTGGCTCAGAGGGCCTCTCCTGGTCCACTCCACACCCGAGGTCAGCTTCCTTCACTCAGGAAGGTCTCAAGGGTAGTCTGGGTGGCTCGGGGTCCATCTAGTCTGGTCCTCCACCCGACACCTGAGGTCAACTTCCTTCACTCAGGAAGGTCACAAGGGTGGTCTGGGTGGCTCAGAGGGCCTCTAGCCTGGTCCTCCACTCCACACCCGAGGTCAGCTTCCTTCACTCAGGAAGGTCTCAAGGGTAGTCTGGGTGGCTCGGGGTCCATCTAGCCTGGTCCTCCATTCCCCATCTGAGGTCAACAACACCTGTAACACAATATTTCACCTGAGCTGTACAGAATTACCTACACACTATGCAAACAGACAAGGTACATACTGGATTTGTCACAATGACAGACCATGATGGGAAAACATAACCAAACTAATGAATGACATTCCTGAAACATAAAGGTTAGCATTCACAGAAAAGCTACAAGCTATATATGCAGATTGTGCAAATAATATTGAACACTGAACAAAACTCTGGAACCGTTGGCCTAGAGATTCATTCACAATAACAGTGTGGAAGGACGTGATGCCGAGGTACACAAAACTAACGGGAGTTTTGAAGAGCCAACCGGTAACATGACTAATGAGAGCAATGGTCAGAAAGAATGCAGAAATGACAGACATAAAAAAATGCAGATGACCCCAAAACAGAGGGCCAATGCAGGCATAGGTATAAATAACTGGGAAAAAATAACAAATGTAAATATTTGCACATATGATGCAAAAGGAATTGCTATCAATGCAAAATAATTGCAATTATTTATTTTACTCGTAATTATTGAATGGTGCTGTGGCCCTGACTTGTGCAGCTGTGCTGTGAGCTGGAGCTGCATGTGCCAGCTATGGTTGCTCTGGCACTACTGAGGCACTCAGTGCCAGGAGGGATGCTGACTTTTTTTTTTTTCAAGATGGCCTCTGTTTACTGGAGTCCTGAGGAACAGGATGTGAGCCCCGTTGACCTGCAGATAATCAGCAGTTTTGAATCTTACGACATATAAATGTTCATCATATGTCAGGTGACGCCCCACCACACCCCGTATTATGTTGGGTCATGCAATGCCTATCTCTAGCAAACTTACCTCTCGAAGTGGCAGCTGCTTGAAAAGCTTCTACATTGGAAGCTTAATCAATCAATGTGAAGACCCAGGGGGAACAAACAGCATAGGACTCAGGATCGTAGGTGTCACCAACCCAACAGGCAACATGGCAGAGGTAGAAAGAATGACCATTGTTTGGTAGCAAAGACGATGAGCACCCTTCAGGCTCGCACAAGACCATAGTTGGCTTGATGGGCTGGAGAAACTTTGCCAAAGAAACTGTGATGGGAAGGGGCAGCCGAACTCACCAGAGAAAATATATCTGTCAGTACTGGGGGGTGGGGGGGGGGGAGCACTGCTAGTGGGAACTGGGAAGGAACTCAGGATGCATGCAACCTGAAGCACAACAAAGCCAGGGTCATGCAATAAGCCGGATAGTAAACACACACATGGAGCAAATATTAAATGTAGAACAGAGTACAGTACAAAGCACATGGGCTCCACAGGAACAAGTCCAAAGATGGCCAGCACTTGGCTTGAAGCTGAAGGGTTTGCCACGTCTGAAAGACCCGGAACAGTACTGTCCCGCAAGACATCAGCCAAAGCAATATGGCTGCGTGTGGAAGCCAGGCCACTTAGTGATGGTATTTGGTATTATGTGTTTTGGGCTAATTTTGAATATTTCTCTTGTTCTGTGTGAATCATGTGCAGTTATTTGATGTTTTCAAGGTGTTGGTCTTTGTTAACCCTCCAGTTCCCTGTGAAGCTTCACAGAGTTTCTGGATTCTTCCCGGTGTTGTGGAAAATTGTTACTTGCTCTCTGCACCTCTGTGAGGTGGGTCAGGTTTTAGCTCTGGTGCTCGGTAGGCCAAACAGAAGTCCCACTTGTGAAGTGACCCATTTGCATGGCGTTATCTCAGCAAAATAGCACAGGAAGCACAATAGCACCCTAGAAATAAATGCTTAAGAGTTGTCAGATTTCTTTCAATACTGTACCTGTAAAGCTCAAAATGTAGCTAAAATGCTTGGCTTTCTTGTGGTATAAAGAAAAAAAAGTTGTGTAATGTTTGTGAGAAAATTACTTGTAGTATAGTCTAAATTATTATATATTTTATTGAGCAAGAGTAATATTGGTTGTCTTTCATGTGTATTACAGGTATTGATTTCAAGATTCGAACTATTGAATTGGATGGGAAGAAGATCAAACTCCAGATATGGGACACAGCTGGCCAGGAACGTTTCCGAACTATCACCACTGCTTACTATCGAGGCGCCATGGGGATTATGCTTGTTTATGACATCACAAATGAGAAGAGCTTTGATAATATCAAAAACTGGTAAGGTGAAATATGGAGAACATTATAATAGTTTAGTAATTCATCATAATCATGATTAGTGTTGATTGTACTGTTATGGGTTAATGTTGCCTATGAGGGTCTTGGCCTCAGCTGCAGCAGCGGTGGCTGCACTCCCTAAGCAGTATGCCCCCTTTTCTTAGGAAGGCAGTGGCCACATTCTATGGCTCCTGGCTTGCACATAACAGGCTGAGTTGGCCCAGTCTTAGGATGCAGTGCAGGCAGAGCTCTCATTTCTGCCTCTTCGTTTACTGAAGATGTTGTGGCTTATGCTTTTTTCTCCTAAGGATGTTGTGGCTCAATTCATGTCATCTGTGGCGACTGCATGTAGACCTGTCTCGGATCATTTATTTGTTCATGGTAGTCGTTCTTGGGTCCCAAAGCTGTCAATAAAGCTAAGGTGAAGCCTGCTGTTGTTCGAGGTAGGTCATCTGTGGATACAGTGGTTGGGTCGCAAGTGCTTCCCTCAGCCAATCCCTCCTTGTCTGATCGGTGCTGTCCTTGCTTCTTTTGGAACTTCGGCTTTAGGGATTTGTACCGGTCCTTTCGTGGGTTGCCCATTGATGGGGTGGTTGGGGGGATGGGGAGAGGCTTGCTCAGTTTGCTAGTGCCTGGTCTCATGATTCATGGGTTTTTCAGGTCATTTTGTGCAGTCTGCAGTGGAGTTGGTCAGTCCCTCTTCCTTCAGGGGGTTTGGGCCTGTTGGGGCTGGCTTCCTCTCCTTGTCTTCCTCCCCCAGTCATTGTCTTCTTCGAGTCATCTCAGAGTGGTTGTCTTTGGGTGTAGTTGAAGTGTCTCTTTGTTGGATCTCCCACCTTTTTCTGCTCCTGAAACAGGATTTTCTGGACTTCAGTTTCATCCTTAATCTTTCCATGTTGAACCAATTCATTCCTTGCCCCCCCTTCCTTTTGGATGACCATGTTGCCCCTCCTTTTGGATGACTATCTTGTCCACAAGGCAGTTGCTTGGATGATCTTTCTGGGTCTCTGGGACATGTACTGTCACGTCCATGTACATCTGAGGTTCAGGGATTGGTTAGGTTTCGTAGTGGGGTGACACCACTTTTGGGTCCTCCGTTCAGGCTCAGTCGGGCTCCTCATATCTACGCACTTGGCTTGAGTCGTTGTGACCTGTCTTCATTTGCTTGGTGTTCGGGTGTTGGTCTACCTCGATGACTGATTGGTGTGGACTCCCAGCCAGTCCACATGTTTGTTAGCCAGGGATCTGGTTCTTTCCCAGCTTCCCGGGTTCGGGTTCCTGGTGAACTGGAGGAAGTCCCAGTTGGTTGCATCCAGGTTTGGACTTCGGCTGGGGCTTCGTTTGGGAGTCTCGGTCAGCATCGCTGTCTCTACCTCTGGCGGCTTTGGCCCAGCTGCAGCGCCACCACCTGTTAGTGTTGAGGGGGTGCCAAGTGACTCTGCAGTTGCTCGAGCAGCTGTGCGGGAGCCTTGACTTTTCCCTCATTCATTTACCCTTTGGGCAGAGTTTGACTCTGGAGACTATTCTGGTATCCGTAGGGCAGCCCCTTTTGCCATGACTGTGATCACATGGGTACGGTCTCTAATGGCCCTTTGCTGGCTGCTGCATTACCGGTTTCCTCTTTGGGCTTTTCAGGGATTAGTTCCCTGGCGCCGTCCTCTGCCCTCGCTTGATGTCTTCACAGACACACCAATTCTCAGTTGGGGCTTTGTGACCAATGCTCACCAAGCTGGTCAGGGGCTATGGTGCCTTCTTCTTTGTCAGGCACACAGTATTGTGCGGGAGCTTGCAATTGTGTGGCATGCACTGTGGAGAGTTCGGATTTTGCCAGGCTCCATTCATACTGTCTCCCCATGGTTCAGTGTCTCAACCTTTTACTTCAGTCCCCTGCCTCTTTGGAGCTGAACTCTTCATGTAGCTCCTCAGCTGGGTTCTTGGGGTTTAGTTTTGCATGCTGTTCATGTCCAAAGAGTGTTCAGTGTTCTGGCTGAGAGTCTGTCCCAGTTCCTCCCTGTCTCCATGGAGTGGATTGTTTATGCTGCCGCCTCCTTGAGACTTTGCTGGACATTTCGGCTGTCATGACGTGGATCTCTCTTTCATCAGCAGCGTGGTTTCGGTGTCTTCCTCTTATGTGGCGCCATTTCCCGACTGTGAGGCCCTTGCGGTAGATGTCTTTGGGCTGGACTGGTCGATGTGAGGAGTTCCTGTACCTCTTTTCCCCAGTTTGGCTGTTGCTCTGGGTGTTGGAATGTTTGGAGTCCTACAAGGAGTGAGTGATCTTTTTGGCTCCTTAGTGGCCTGCCCAGTCTTGGTTTCAGGCACTGCTTGCTCAGTGTCTGAACCTGGCCATTTTTCTGTGGCTTTTCCTCTTTCAGAGGGTCAGCCAGGTGATGTACTTTGCTGGTTCGACCTTTTCCTCTGCTCTTCGTGTCTAGAGTTTTTTAAGCGGGTATATTGGCGAGTCGGTCGGCCGAGCGGACAGCACGCTGGACTTGTGATCCTGTGGTCCCGGGTTCGATCCCGGGCGCCGGCGAGAAACAATGGGCAGAGTTTCTTTCACCCTATGCCCCTGTTACCTAGCAGTAAAATAGGTACCTGGGTGTTGTCAGCTGTCACGGGCTGCTTCCTGGGGTGGAGGTCTTGTCGAGGACCGGGCCGCGGGGACACTAAAGCCCCGAAATCATCTCAAGATATTGCCATCTCTGCGGTGATCAGGTGGCTGGTTTGATGGTGTCTCACCTGTGGTCCTCAAGGCAGCAGTATGAGGTTTCATGGTGCACCTTTTGCCACTTTCTTCCCATCATTGCTGTTCTTCGGTGTCTGAATTGGTTGTTCTCTTTTCACTCTTGGCTTTTCCTTGATTGGCATCTTGTGCTGAATACTGTTGCCCTTGTATCATGCTGCATTGGTAGAGCTGCTCCAGCTTGCATTCGGGGTCAACACTACATTGGCTCTTTTTTGCAGGCTTTCTAGTGTGCTGTTTTACCTTTGGCCTGCATGTGTATCACCTGAGCTCTCTTATCCCTAGATTATGTTCTTTCTTTTGTCCACTTGATTTATGGTGTCCCCTTCTGTCCAGGATTATTTTATGAAGGAATTGTTCTGGATTTCCTGTACCTCCAGTTGACAGGTGGGAGTGCTTCATGCTCTCCTTTGGCGCTGGGTTATTTGTTCTTTTGGCCCTAGTGGATTGTTCATATGTTTGCAGCAGCAGCTTCTTTTCTGACAAAGAATGAATCTGTTGGCTTTTTGGGGGGGGGGGGGTCCTTTGGTTGTTGATGCTTGGTTGGTTTGGCCAGGGGTGTATCATATGTTGTGTCTGGGGTAGCTGTCTGCCTCTACCTTTGTTCCACTTCTGCTTTGGTGGACTCGTTGTTGGTTGATCTGGTTTCATTGGTCTCCTGTTCCAAGGCTTGCATTTCTCAGGTTGTTCACAGTGTTATCAAGTGTAGCCAACCTACAGGCTACCCATGATGTTTGCAAATATGCTGCTATGTTAGCTGTTTTTGCTAATATGTCCTGAGCTGATATTTGGGCATGGGTATTTTGGAGGCAGCCAGGTTTCTCATCAGTGTTCCTGGTCCTCTGTGCCTCTGTGTGGCTTTGGGTCATGTGTCATGGCTGTTTGTCTTTGTCGTGATACCTACGATGGTCCCTCTTCCCAGGTAAGTGTCCGTGTTTTTTTTTCCTCTGTGGGTATTTAGTTTCAGGGAGCCGTAAGAGGGCTTCCCAAAAAACCAGCATTACTTGTAATGAAACGTTAATATGTTTTTTTTTTTTGGTGAGCCCCGGTGGCTCCCAGACACCCTCCCTTCTCTAGGGCGTTGGGAATTTGTTTTCATCAGTGAACTGAGGGTGGAGCAGCCGGTTGTCCCGGGCTGCCTCCCTCCTCCTCCTCCTCCATTGTATGGAGGGAGGGAGGGAGGGAGGGAGGGAGGGAGGGAGGGAGGGAGGGAGGGAGGGAGGGTGAATGAGCTTTCTCTAGTTGTGTGAATGTTTGATAATTTGTTTTCATTTTTTTTTTGTTTTCTTTCTTTATTATTTTCTACCACAGACGTGGCCACACATTTACAATGCTAACCAGCATATATACATTTTCTTCTGTCCTCCATGTACAGGGTTAGAGAAGTGTTAAACATATAGTTCAAAGACAAAGACAGTAAAAGTGTTAAAATTGTTAGGGGGAGTTCTTTTGGCATTTCTTGAGACTGCAGTCTCTCTTATAATCAGAAGTGATTTGTTTTACTTCACTTACATTCTGGGTGCCTTCCTCAGTGGTGGCAGACATGAATAAATTCATAGAAATTTTATCATAAGTGCCACTGCTCCTTGCATCTCTAGAAGGGGCCAGGTTTTGGCTCATGGTCCCCAGAAGGCCAAGTAGAACTCCACACCTGATGGCACCTAAGGTGTTTGGCACTTTTAACAGCACAGTAGCTTCATGGGGCTAAGGTAGCTCACGCAGAAAATGGCATTTCATTACATTCAACACTGGGGTCATGATGTGTTCATTCCGCATATTTTACATTTAACTCTTCCAATATTTTTAAGTGCAAGATAGAAACATAATTTAAAACTACCTCAGCCAATATGGTCTTTTTAATTCATAAATATATAATCTATAACACTGAGTTGATCCTGAATTAATCTTGGCAGGATACGGAACATAGAGGAACATGCATCAGCAGATGTAGAGAAGATGATTCTGGGAAATAAGTGTGATGTAAATGACAAGAGACAGGTGAGATAATTGGAGAGTTTTAATATCTGTATAATATACTGTAATATACAAGATAATTTTTTTATGTGAAATATTGTTGTGAGAATGATCCCTCACCAGCTTCCAGAGCTCTGGTGAGGGATCATTCTCAGCTCTCTCTGCCCATGAATAATGTCTTTCTGGTAAATCTTGTTGCATGCAAATTCTCAAACATTGAACTTAGGGTATACAGGAGAAATGGAAATGTATTCTAGAGGCCTTCCAAAGTCTACCTATTTCCACGTCTTTCTCAGTAAAGCACTCACCTTAACACTTTCGCACTCCAATGATGCCTATTAGCAGCATCCGTTTTTCTCCTGTGCCGTCTTGGATGACAACGTCCAGAGTCATCCATTAAAATATTTGTTAAAAATTTAAATTTTATCTGATCAATCTGGGAGTTGTTTCAAAATGAGCGCCTTTAGATTGCACACAATTTGATACCAAAATGAAAGAGACAACATGAAAATTGATGTCAGAACACTGGAAAGATATAAATAATTTTGTGGTGATGAGTGTCAAAAAGTTAACAAAAGTTAAAATATTTGTTAAAATTCCATTTATTGTTCTATTATTATGGACTAGTTTTAAAATACACGCTTTTTTATTGGGAACAATTTGATACCAAAATGAAGGACGTGACGCGAAAATTGATGCTAGAAAGATAATAAATGTCAGAAAGAAAATAAATACTTTTGTGGTTCAAATTTTTAAATATTTGCTAAAATTCCATTTATTTTTCTATTACTATGGGATTAGTTTTAAAATACGCGCCTTTATATTACGAACAATTTGATACCAAAATGAAAGACGAAACACGAAATTTAGTGTCAGAATACTGTAAATATATAAATAATTTTGTGGTGATGAGCGACCAAAATTTAAAATATTTGTTAAAATTCGTACAGTGGTACCTCGGAACACGAGTGTCCCTGTATGCAAGTTTTTCGGAATACGAGCCGGATTTCCTCGGAAAATGTGTCTCGGAAGGTGAGGGTTACCTAGGAACGCGAGTTTGTTGATACGCGTTCAGGCCGACTAGCGCGTGGTGGTACGGCGATTGTCGCCCCTCCGCCCCTCAGTTTACCATTGTCTCCCGCCCAGTGACTATCCCTCCTGAATTCTTCACAAGGATTTACAGTTTTATGTCGTTTTTTTGGCCATTTGAGCATAAAAGTTGTTATTATATATCTCGCCATGGGTCTCAAGAAAGCCATTGATAAGGTTCAACCTAAGAAAATAGCTGTGAGTAGAGGCAGTAGAGGATGTCCCTTCTTGATTAAGAAAATGTGTGAAGTATGGGAAGAACTGCAAAGTTCTGTTGAAAAAACTCACCCAGATAAAGCTGTAGCAGGCCGTTGCATTGACCTTTTAAATGACAATGTGATGTCTTACTACAGACAAGTGTTAAAATGTAGGGAAAAACAAGTGTCTTTAGACAGATTCTTAGTAAGACAAACAAGTCCTAGTGGTATGCAGGCAAAATGTGCCAGAGTGTGCTCACCAGTGAAGTCCTCACTGCCTGATGAGATAATGGAAGGGGACTCCCCTTCCAATCAGTAACTCCTCTCTCCTCCCCCCTCCTCACCATCTTCCATACGCCTACAGCATTCAACAGCAAGGTAAGTAATAGCTTGAACATAGTTTTGTAGGTTTATTTAGATGAATTAGGTATAAAAATTTAGTTTGATGTGGGGTTTTTGGGGTAGTCAGGAACAGATTAATTCATTTCCTATTGTTTCTTATGGAGAAATTAGCTTCGGAATGCGAGTTTTCGGAATACGAGTCGTCTCCAGGAACGGATTAAACTCTTAAACTGAGGTACCCCTGTAATTTCTGCGGCGCCTGCGCCGGGAGTGCGATAGTGTTAAATAGTGTTGTTGTTATGCAAAATACTCCTGACCCTCCCGCTATCCACACCTCAGTTCTTGGCTGATGTGTTTGAGGCTTGGTCGTGTGACTCCAGACTACACACTAGAAGGTGAAGGGACGACGACGTTTTGGTCTGTCCTGGACCATTCTCAAGTCGATTGTCGATCGACAATCGACTTGAGAATGGTCCAGGATGGACCGAAACGTCGTCGTCCCTTCACCTTCTAGTGTGTGGTCTGGTCAACATACTTCAACCACATTATTGTGACTCATTGCCTGCGTGTGACTCTAGCTCATGTTTCTTGTATCAGTGCTGTGCCTTGCATTTAGTGCTGTCCTCAGGGTGGTGTGTGAGCTGGGAGTAATCTTCACAGGTGCTCAGGATGCATGCGCTTAGGGTTCCCTTTCCTAAGTGCCCTGTAAGTACTGCCCTTGGGGCTTGCGGGAGACTTCCACAAATCACCTTAGGGTCTACCTCTGTTGGTCTTTTGCTGCTCGGTAATTGACTGCCCAGAGTGTGCTGGGGGGAATTCCTCCTCCCTTGTTTACCTTAGCGTAAAGGGTAGTTTGCACTGATAGGGGCGTGGGGTACTGCACAGCTAGTTATCCCCTATTATAGCGGCTGGCTCTGTTCCACCTGGGGTACATTGTCCTCTTGCATTTTTTGTTTGTTTTTGTTTTCCTGCTTGGTGGGGGAGACTGCCTTTGGTTCGTTGCCCCCTATCTATATTTAAGTTAATATATATCTGTGTTTCTTAGTTCTAGGCCCCGTGAGTGGACACGTCCCGGAGGGTTCAGCTTTTAGCAGTTTGATTGGTAGACTTGGGTGTTGGTTCGCAGTACCCTGCCTGAACTTACCCTTAGCAATACCAGTCTAAGGGGCCTGAGAAATCCCGCAGAGTCGCAAGGGGTCCGATGGATGCGACCCCTGGGTCCCCTCTCACCTTGTGTGAGTTTGAGGGTTGCTCTGTCTCCTTGTCTCAGGGTGACTTACTGTTTTTGCCTCCGTCATGCTGCCTGTTGGGTCGGTGACACCTTCAACCCAGAGTCCTGCGAGTTCTGCTGCGTTTGTGGCTCGGTTCACCCAGTCCACTGATGACTATCCGGGTGCGGGTGGCTCAGACGTTGCATGCTCTATATCGGTTGCTGCAACACGCTTGGTTGATTGCTACCCCAGAAGCCCCAAGGCTGCCCTGTTTTGCTTACAGAGACTCGGACTTGGGAGTGTTGGTCGCTTCGACCTTGGTTCAGTCCGCACCCCCTCGTTCTTCCCCTGCTTTGGTTCATTCTAGTCCCCTCTCCCTGCATCTATCTCCAACGCATCTGAGGAATTCAGGGGCAGGGTTTAAGAGATTCTGAGACTCGGGCAGTTTCGGTGGTTGCCCCCTTCCGGGGGGGGGGGTCATGGAGGCATTGGAGTCGGTTCCTCCAGCCGTGGTGACAGGGTCTGACCAGTCGGCCCCCCTTCCTTCCTGCCTTTCCGGCTGCCCTGGCTTTTTCTTGAGGCCAGGGCTTTGGAGGATGACTCGACCCTGGGTCCTGGTGTGGAGGTTCCCTGGGGTTTGGGGAAGGGCTAACTTGGGGGCCTTGGACCCCATTAGACCCTGCCTGGGTTTTTCTACCCTCCGAGCAGGGCTTACTGTTACAAGGAGTTGGGGTTTTCTACCCCCCCGCCCTCTGCGTACAAGTTGGATTTGGTGTCGGCCCCTCTCAGGGTTTGGTTCCGTGTCCCTTCAGGTCTGTCGGTTCCGTTCTTCCGAAGGTTTTCAGCTTCTCGCGTCTCGCCTACTGAGGTGCAGGTGGTAGCTCCAGCTGCCAACTTTACCTTCACCACAGGAGGTAAGCATTGTGGCTTACCTTAAAGGGAGCCGTGGCTGAGCGGACAGAACACTGGACGCGTGATCCTGTGGTTCCGGGTTCGATTCCGGGCGCCGACGAGAAACAATGGGCAGAGTTTCTTTCACCCTGATGCCCCTGTTTCCTAGCAGTAAATAGGTACCTGGGAGTTAGTCAGCTGTCACAGGCTGCTTCCTGGGGGGTGGAGGCGTGGTCGAGGACCGGGCCGCGGGGACACTAAAAAAGCCCCGAAATCATCTCGAGATAACCTCAAGATATACCTCCTGTGCAACCGGGATTATGCCTCTATAATGGATCCGTTTTCCTTCAGGTTTGGATCTTCGTCTCCATACTGGTTTGTTATGAGGTTCTGGAGCCGTCCTGGCTAGTGGACTGCCCCGTGTTGTCGTTGGATGCTTTGAGTACTTTCTGTCATACCTGCACACTTGAGTGATGCGAGGCGTTGACGGTGGTCCAGGTTTACTTGGGGGGTGAAATCGAGCACCTCAATGCGTATTTGTTCACCCCTGCCCTTCAGCGGGATGTTGGCATGGTTCAGCTTCACGTGCAGGTTCCCTCTCTTTCGGCTGCACTGGTGGCTGAGGATTTGCGCGCTCGTGGGCTGCTGGCTTTGGGTTTGCGGTTCTTTTACCTTCTGGAGCTGTCTTCGGATTGGCTTCAGGAGGATGTGGAGGCTCTTGGGGCTGTTCCTGGGTCTGGTGCCTTGGTCTTGGTGGCGTGTATGTCATCTGCGTTGCTGAAGCTGTTTGCACCGATCCTGTTGGGGATGCGATGTCGCAGTTTTTGGTTTCGTGTCTTGTGTGTTGGCAGGTGGGGCTTGCTTCCTCGTTGGAATTTGTTTGGGTCCTGGCTCTTACGTTTTCGTCGCCTTATTGTCCCTTGCTGTTTGCGGAGTTGGGCAGTTTCTGCAGGCAGCCTCTTCTAGTTGTCATCCAATGTCGGACTTGTTGGTCTTTCGGGGGTCCTGGGGGGTTCCTTCTGGAAGGGTTGAGCCTGAGTTCAGGGTTCCTCTTGTCGTGGTAGGCCGCTTGTGCCAGTTTCTTGGGCGGCGCTGCCTTCGGATTCATATTTGTCTGGTTGGTGTAGTGATCACTCTCTGCGTAAGTTGGGTTCTCACAAGGGGCGTTGGCCCTTTCGCAGTTTGCCCCATTGACTGGGCGATGAGGAGGGGGGGAGGCTCTCGATGTTTACTCATGCCTGGTATCAATTCGTGGGCTTTTTGGGTCGTTTCCAACAACCGGCGGTGGCGTTGGGTGGCCCCTCCTCCTTTGGGGGGTTCTGGGCTGGCGGTGCAGGCCTCTCCTGCGCTTTGTTGGATCATCTCAGAGTGGGGTACGTTTGGACATAACAAGGTCCGACATTTGTTGGAGCTGGGCTCTTCGATGGTGTGTCTGGACCTCCGAGACGCGTATTGGCACGTCCCGATTCATCCGGGGTTCATGGATTGGCTCGTTTTTGTTGTGGGGCATCTTGGTTACCACTTTCGTTGTCTCCTGTTCAGGTTGAACCCGGCACCTCACGTGTTCACACGCCTTACCCAGGTCATGGTGGTGAATCTACATCTCTTAGGTCTTTGGGTTCTAGCCTACCTCGACGACTGGCTGGTCTTGGCTCCCAGCCAGTCCACGTGTCTGCTCGCCAGGGATCTGGTTCTTTCCCAGCTTGCTGAGTTCGGGTTCCATGTGAACTGGCGGAAGTCCCATCTGGTTCCCTCTCAGGTTCGGACTTGGCTGGGTCTTGTGTGGGACTCCCAGACCGCTTCCGTATCTCTCCCTCCCTCCGGAATCTCTTGCTTCGACTGCGCTCCTGCCTTCGCTTGTTTCTTGGGGCTCCCGGGTCACTTGGCGGTTGCTCGGGGGTTTGTGCTGGAGCCTGAACTTTGCCGTGATGGTCTACCCGCCGGATCAGGTTTGGCTTTGTCGGCTGTTCTGGTTCCTTTGGGGACGTTCCTTCCGCCTCTCTTACGGCCACTGGGGTTTGGCCTTCTTGGGCCTTGCGTCGGCTGCTGCGTCTCCGGCTTCCTCTTCGGGTTTTTGGGGGTACAGTGCCTTGGCGTCTACCCGAGCCCTTGCTCGATGTGTTCATGGATGCATCGTCTCTTGGCTGGGGCTTTGTGACCATTGCTCACCAGGCCAGCCAGGGGCGGTGGGGTCTGTCCTTCCATCGAACCCACAGCACGTTGTGGGAGTTTGCAGTGGTGTGGATGTTGCTTCGGAGGGTTCGGGTTGCTCGCAGATCGACGATCAGGCTCCATTCGGCAATGAACCCCAGTGGTTTATTGCCTGAACCAAGGGGGGGTTCAATGTGGTCCTTGGCTCTTTGGGGCTGGTTGCTTCAGGTGGCTCGTCTGCTGAGCTCTCAGTTTGGCTGTCCTGCCTTTTCATGTTTTGGGGGGGGGGGGGGTCCAATGTCCTGGCGGATGGCCTATCTCGGTTCATTTCCCTGTCTTTGGAATGAACAGGGGTCTACTCAGCTGTTAGGCCAGGGGCCTAATAACTGAGTGGACAGTGTTTCGGATTCATAGTCCTGAGGTTCCGGGTTCGATTCCCAGTGGAGGCGGAAACAAATGGGCAGAGTTTCTTTCACCCTGATGAGCCTGTTCACCTAGCAGTAAATAGATACAGTACCTGGGAGTTAGAGAGCTGCTACGGGCTACGGGTTACTTCCTGGGGATGTGTGTAACAAAAAGGAGGCCTGGTTGAGGACGGGGCTGTGGGGACGCTAAGCCCCAAATGTACAAGCTTCCCGAGGAGGACCTCTTCGTGTCGGTGTGGTCATGACGTCTCCCGGTATATGTGGTGCCCTTCCCTAACTCTGAGGCCATCGGGGTCAACGCTTTTCAGTCGCTGCACTGGTCGAGGTGGGGTTACATGTACCTTTTTTCCCTGGTTCCGCCGTTACTCTAGGTCCTAGCTCGCTTAGAGACTTACCAGGGGAGAGTAGTCCTCTTGGTCCCTTAGTGGCCGGCCCAGCTTTGGTTTCAGGCGCTGCTTGCTCGGTGTCTGAACCCAGGGGTTTTCCTGTGGCTCTGCTTCTTTCAGCTAATTGGTCTGGTCCATTATGTGGCTGGTTCAATCTTCTCCATTGTCTTTGCATCTGTTTTTTTACTCGGGTCTATCACTATCTGTATGGTGATCAGTTGGCTTCGTTAATGGTGTCCCACCTGCGTGCTTTGTCTCGGCGGCAGTATGAAGTTTCCTGGCAGTCCTTCCGTTTCTTTTTGTCTCTTCTTAGGTATACTTCGCTTTCTGTTAAGGTGGTCTTGTCCTTTCTCTTGTGGCTGTTTCAGGACCGTCATCTTGTGCCAAATACTGTCGCCTCGTATTGTGCTGTGCTTGCAGAGCCGCTCTTGCTTGTGGCATCGATGTTACGTCTGCACCGTTTCACATGAAGTCTCTGGCGTTGTTTCACCTCCGGCTTCTCATGCACTACCTGAGTCATCCTGGTTGTTGGACAGGATGCTCTCTTATCTCTCTTCCCCCTTGGTTTGTTGTGGCCCTTTTGGTTCAGGAATGTGTCTCCAAGGCTCTTTTTCCTGTTAACATTGGCCTCTGGGGGTCGGGTCGTGGAGCTTCATGCTCTCTTCCAGCGCAGGGGTTTCTGCTCTTTTGGCTCTGGTGATAAGTTTGTTTGTTTGCAGCCGTGTCCTCCTTGTCTGGCGAAGAATGAGATGGCTGCTTTCCGGAGGGGTCCTTGGGTTGTTGATGCTTGGTTGTTCAGGCCGGGGATGGCCCCTTCCGTTGGTCCTAAGTAAGGCCCCTTCCTAAGTAAGCAGGTACATCATGTGTTGGGTTGATCCAGTTTCCCTTCTTCCTTGTTCTAGGGTTCGGGTCACCCAGGTCATCTGCAGGGTTATTTGGTCTAGCCAGTCTGTGGTCTATCCCCGTGCCCACGATGTTTGAAAGTTTGCTGCTCTTGCTGCTGTCTTCGGTAACATGTATTGGGCTGACATTCAAGTGCGGGGTTTTTGGTGGTCAAACAAGGTCCTGCCTGCACGCTACCTGGTCAATGTTTCGGGGCCTAGTCGGTCCTGTGTCGCTTTGGGTTGGCGGTTGCAGCCAGTTATCTTGTCTTCGCATTGAGGGGTGAGTGCCGACCTCCTCCCGGGTAAGTTCCACTTGTTTTCGTCTTTTGGTAAGTAGCTCCGGGAAGCCAAAGGGGGTCCCATCCCCCCCTCCCCAGGAAACCAGCGTTGAATGTAATGAAATGCCATTTTTTGTGAGAGACCCGGAGGCTCACCGGCATCCCTCCATCCCTCCAGTCAGCAGTTTTTCCATGTGTTTTTGACATCCAGTCTCAGAACTGGGGGTGTGGATAGCCGGCATAAGGGGTCTTGGACTCTCCTTCCCCCTCATGGGGAGAGGAGGGGGGAGCTGCGCAGACTGTGGCGCGGCACGTGGCCACGTCTTGCTTGTTTTTCTTTGGCAAGTTCTGTCCACTCGTTTGACTTATAGTAGTACAGAAGTTTCAACCAGAATTGAGGTTTGTTTTGCTTACCTTTCTGGGTGCCTGACCCAGTCAATGGCAGACATAGAATGCTCCAAATTACATGTGCATTCTATAGGCCATTGCTCCTCGTGCCTCTCTGAAGGGGCCAGAAGTTCATGGTCCCTGGTAGGCCTAAGAACTCCATTCACACTGATGCCAAAGTCTAATACGGTATATCCATATCGGCCTGAATAAGCTCCGGGGAGCCTCCGGGTCTCGCTCAGAAAATGGAGTTCCATTACATTCACTGCTGGTTTTTGTGAATTCTGAAGTCCCAGATGGTGAGAGCATACATCAGACATATACTGTACTCAGTTGAAATTGTATTGAATCATTAAATCATATTGTAATTTATTACTTGTTATTAACACATAACATCCAATTGCTGATTTGCTGTTATTCATAACAAGTATAAACCATTTTATTAGTACTGTATTGCAATATATATGCATTTAATAACATACTCTACTGCTTGTAAATTCTTGCAGGTTTCTCGAGACAGAGGAGAACAGTTGGCCATAGAATATGGGATAAAGTTTATGGAAACCTCTGCTAAAGCGTCCATTAACGTAGAAGAAGCATTCTTTACCCTTGCTCGAGATATTAAGGGCAAAATGGAGAAAAAATTGGTTAGTTCAATGCCAGTTTTTCTTGTAAGAGTTCCAATATGTAGCATATTTTCTTTAAGGTATATAGTATAGCACTGTACAACTTCTATATGTGCTCTATATTATAGGTACTGTACTAAATAATATTAAAGCGTAATTTTATTAAATTTATAATTTGATTAGATATAAGTTCATTGATACTTGTATGGTACATGCTGGTTAGTACAGTAATTAAGTCTATATTTTGCAGAACTGAGGTCATTTTGCTTCTGGGAGTTTTCATCAAATGTTTGCTTTTGACTATTTTCCTGTCGGAAACCCCTTCAGCTCCCTGGAGCTATAAGACTCGCTTTATTAGTCTGGGGCTTCAGTCAATGGAGTTCTGCCTACCTGGGACCATGAGCCAGAACCTGGCCCCCTCAGAGAGGTGCATGGAGCAATGGCCTAAAAAAAAAAAACTTGTATTTGGGGGTATTTCCTGTCTGCCATTGACCGGGGTTAGGCACCCAGAATGGTTGGCATCTCAAAACGAACCCCACGTGATAGGAAATTGTGGTAGCAAACCCAAGTCCAAACAGAGAAACAGAACTCCTAAAAATAAGAGGATAATAAGCAAACAAGCAAACGTTAACCAACGCCGCCGCACCGCCTGTCCGTGCCCCCCCCCCCCTTCCCCTGCCCAGCTCCTCATTTCGTAGGCTGAAGCGCTCTGGGGTGGTTCTCAACTCTGGCCTCAGATTCCTGCTGGATTTTGTGCCCTTGTGGTTTCTCCTGCTGTTTGTGGTGTTGTAGCAAGGAGTAAACTTTGTGTAGGAAGTGCCTTGGGTAGGAAGTGTTGTTGTTGCTGGTTTGGAGTACGAGGTGCTGCGCAGCACGCATCCCAACAGCAGCCGTGTTCCCTGTTCCTCCTGTGGTGGTTGTGCTTCTGTGGGGTTTTTCTTTTCTGTTTGTCTTGCTTGGAGGAGGTCTGCCTGGTTTGAGTATTAGTACACCTAAGGTATTTTTGGTGGCCCTCTTCTAGGCCCCTATGTTTGTACACCTCACAGGGGTCCAGTTATAACCCTATTCCCACTTGTTGACATTATCATTTGGGCTTAACCGGCTGTACAGCACCATACCTGGGCTTTCCGTAGGCTAAACCCCCTATGGGCCCCGGAAAACCCTGTTGGGGCTTGGCAAACCCATGGATGCATCTTCCAAGTCCCATCTCGCCTTATGAGAGTTTGAAAGTTGTTCGTTGCCCCTTGTCTCAGGATGACGATTACCCGTTTTGCTTCCATCATACTGCCTGTTGGGTCGGTGACATATGACTCGAGAGACTTTCTAGACACGTTCCCGGCTCGAACTCCGATTTACCCATTCTTCTTCGGAGGTTCTTAAGGAAAAGGCGGCGTCTGCGTTGCATCGTAGGTTGTGGTTGTTGCAACACGCTAGTTTGGTTGCTCGCTCGAATGCCCTGGAGCTTTCCTGTTTTGGTTTTAGGGACATGGATCTGGGGGCATCAGTCGCTTCGACTTTGGCTCCGTCCACGCCTTCAGGTCCTTCCCCAGTGGGCGTGGTTCATCCTGCTATTTTCCCCCTGCTGCCAGCTCCCAAATGTCTGAGGGTTTTCGGAGTTGGGGGGCAGTGTTTAGTTGGTGATAAGACCCGACGGCTTCAGGGGCTGCCCCATTCGAGATGGAGACATTCGAACCTGCTCTTCCTGCCGAGGCTTCTGGGTCGTTGCCTTCCGTTTGGCTTGAATTTGGCACCTCATGTTTTCACGCATCTTACCAGGGTCGTGGTGGCCCATCTGCCTCTGCTAGGTGTTCGGGTTCTGGCTTACCTCGATGACTGACTCCCTGAGCTCTCACTCGATGTGTTCACGAATGCCTCGTGTCTCGACTGGGGCTTTGTGACCAGTACTCACCTGGCCAGGGGTGGTGGGGTCCGTTCTTCCATCGAACTCACAGCACTGTGCGAGAGTTAGTGGCAGTTTGGCTTTTACTGCGGAGAGTTCGGGTCTTTCGGGGTTCTACGATCTGGCTCCATTCGGACTGCACTCTGATGGTTCATTGTCCAAACTGCGGGGGTTCTCTTCGGTCCTTAGCGCTTTGGGGCTTGTTGCTTCGAGTGACTTGTCTGCTGGTTTCTCGGGGTTTAGTTCTCTGTGTGGTTCACATCCGGGGAGTGTCCAACATCTTCGTTGACGACCTGTCGCGGTTCCATTCCCCTGTCCACGGAATGGACAGTTGACGCCGATTCCTTCAGTTGGCTCTGCCGGACATACGGGACCCCGGAGGTGGACCTTTTCGTGTCAGTGTGGTCCCGGTGTCTCCTGATATATGTGGTGCCCTACTCCGACTGAAGCCATGGAGGTCGTTGCTCTTTGGGAGGACTGGTGGAGGTGGGGTTACCTGTACCTCTTTTCCCCAGTCCAGCTGTTGCTTTGGGTTCTTCCTCGATTGAAGTCTTCTCGTGGGAAAATCTTTTGCTCCATTCTGCAAGCTTTCTCATGCTTTGTTTTGCCTTTGGCCTGCTCATGCACCACCTGAGCTGTCCCTGGTCTTTGGACAGGGTGCTCTCTTTTCTCTCTCCTCCTTGGTTTGTGGTAGCCCCCTTCAGTTCAAGATTGCTTCCAGAAGGCTCTGTTTCTTTTGGCATTGGCTGGTGGGGGTCAGGTTGGTGAGCTTTGGAGGTCGAACAGGGTCCTGGCCACCTGTTATTTGGTAAATGTCCCTGGTCCCAATCGTCACAGGCTGCAGCCAGTTGTCTCGTCTTCAAGTTGATGGGAGCTGGTGGCTGAGCGGATAGAACACTGGACGCGTGGTCCCGGGTTCGATCCCGGGTGCCGGCGGGAAACAATGGGCAGAGTTTCTTTCACCCTGATGCCTCTGCTTCCTGAGGGTGGAGGCCTGGTTGAGGACCGGGCCGCAGGGACACTAAGCCCCGAAATCATCTCAAAATAACCTCTTGATAGATCCACACGACCGAGTTGGGTTTAGATCAAGTTGATCTCACCCGGGTTGTGGTTGCCTCTCGGGTAAGTCCCTCTTTTGTTTTTCTTTGGTTATGTAGCTCCAGGAAACTGAAGGGGGGTTGCCCACAGAAAACTAGCATTGAATGTAATGAAACCCCATTTTCTGGGTGAGCCCCAAAGGCTCCCTCCCTCCAGACAAGCGGCACAGCGGCAGTGGTTAATGTTTCTTGTTTGTTTATTTTCCTTGTTTCTATTGGGGAGTTCTGTTTCTCTTCTCGGTCGTAGTTTTTCTTTTTGCAGTTTCCTACCATGTGAGGGTTTGTTTTGAGATTCCTACCTTTCTGGGTGTCTAATCCAGGTCAATGGCAGACGGAATACCCCAAATACAAGGAGGTTTCCTTAGGCCTCCCTGTGCCTCTCTGAGGGGGGCTAGGTTCTGGCTCATGGTCCCCAGTAGGCAGAACTCCATTGACGGAAGCCCTAGATTAATATAGCGCATATCAGTCCTATAGCTCCAGGGAGCCTCTGGGGCTCGCCCAGAAAATGGCGTTTCATTACATTCAACGCTGTTTTTTTTTCTTGGCAGAGGAGGAATTAACCTGGGGCCCCCTTTGATCCCGCTTGTGTGTTGGTGCCCACTTCGTGGGGTTGTTTGTTGCAGGGAGGAAGGGGGTTTTTCTTACCCTTTCCTGTATAAGTATGATTTAGGGTCAGCTCCTCACCGGGTTCGGTTCCGGGTTTCCTTGGGTTCCTCGGCTCCTTTCTTCTGGAGGGTTTCTGCCTCTTGAATCTCACCTAAGAAGATTCGGGAGGCCTTGCGGCGTACCTCCTGCGAGACCCGGATTCTGCCTCTGATGGATCCATCCTCGTTTGAGTTCGGTTCTTCTTCCCCGTATTGTGTGCGCTATGAGGTCCCGGGGTCTTCCTGGCTGGTAGACTGCCCTTTCTTTTCGCAGGGGGTGTGGTATGGGGTTTTGTCGAACCAGAATGCTCGAATGGCGGGAGGCTGCTACCGTTCTGTAGGTTTACCTGGAGGGGCGAGTTTGAGCGCCTTAATGTGTGCTTGTTTGCGCCTGTGCTTTCTCGGGATGTTGGCCTTGTGTAGCTGCATGTACAGGTTCCCACTTTTTCGGTGTCTTTGGCAGCCGAGAACCTGCGTGCTCAGGGGCGTTTGGCTTCAGTCTTGCACTTCTTTTCCCTTCTCGAGCTGTCTTCGGACTGGCTTAGGGAGGATGTGGAGACATCAAGTGCCGGGCCTTCGTCTGGTGCGTTGGCCTCAGGGGCTTGGGTATCGGCCGCACTTTTGAAGTTGTTTACGCCAATTCTCAGGGAGGCGGTGTCGCTGTTCTTTGCTTCTCGCCTCGCATGCTGGCAGGCTATGCTCACTCTCTCTTTGGAATCCACTTAGGTCCTGGCTCTTAGGTTTTTGGCATCTTTTTGTCTGTGGTCGATGCCTTCAGGCATGACTGGCCGAGGTGAGGTTTACCTGTACCTCTTTTCCCCGGTTCTGCTTAAAAGAGCATTCGGCAGAGCAGAAGAAGAGCAGAACTCTTAAAAGTTCTGCTCTTAAAAGAGCAGAATGGGAGCGTTCTGCTCCCCCTGCTGATGCTCCAGGTTCTGGCTCGCTTGGAGACTTATCGAGGGAGAGTAGTCCTGTTGGCCCCATGGTGGCCGGCCCAGCCTTGGTTTCAGGTGCTACTTGCTCGGTGTCCAAACCCAGGGGACGGCTCTGTTTTTTCAGCAGATCGGGCCAGTCTTTTACATAGCTGGTTCGATCTTCTCCTCAAGTCTTCGCATTTGGTCTTTCTGACTCGTGTCCATGACCGTTTGTATGGTGAGCAGGTGGCTTCGTTAATGATGTCCCTGCTGCGGGCTTCGTCTCGGCAGCAATATGAAGTTTCCTGGTGGTCCTTTTGTTATTTCTTGGCCCTCCATAGATTTTCTTCGGTTTCGGATAGGGTTGTCTTTTCCTTTCTTGGTTGTTTCAGAACTGTCATCTTATGCCGAATACTGTCGCCTTGTATCGTGTGGCGCTGGTGGAGCCACTTCAGCTTGCGTTCGGGGTGGATGTTACTTTTGCTCCGTTCTGCAAGCTTTCTCGTGCATCACCTCCAGCCTGCTCATGCACCGCTTGAGCCATCCTGGTCGTTGGACTGGGTGCTCTCTTTTCTCTCTTCTCCACAGTTTGTGGTGGCCCCTTCGGTTCAAGATTCTTTTTCGAAGGCTCTTTTTCTTATTGGCATTGGCTTCTGGAGGGTCGGGTTGGGGAGCTTCATGCTCTCCTCTGGTGCAAAGGTTTCTGCTCTTTTTGGTCCTGGTTAACACCAGGACCAAAAAGTTCCACCCTTAGTTTGTTCGTTTGCAGCCATCTCCTTTTCTGGCAAAGAATGAGACTGCTGCTCTCCGGAAGGGTCCTTGGGTTGTTGATGCTTGGTTGGTCAGACTGGGGTGCATCATGTGTTGTCCGGTTGCGGCTTTTCGCCGTTACCTGCGCACCAAGGCCTCGGTGGCTGGGGACACGCTTTGGATTGACCCCAGTTTCCTTTCTTTCCTGTTCCAGGGTTTGGGTCTCTCAGGTTGTCCACAGGGTTATTCGGTCCAGCCAGTCTATGGTCTATCCTTATGCCCATGACGTTCGTAAGTCTGCTGCATTGGCTGCCATCTTTGGTAATATGTCTTTTTGCTGACATTTGGGCACGGGGTTTTTGGAGGTTGAACAGGGTCCTGGCCGCTCGCCACCTAGTCAATGTTCCTGGCCCTAGCCGGGCATGTGTCGCATTGGGTCGATGGTTGCAGCCAGTTGTCTTGACTTCGAGTTGAGGAACAAGTTTCCACCGCCTCCCGGGGGCTCCCTCCAAAAAAACAGTGTTGAATGTACTGAAACACCATTTTCTGGGTCAGACCCAGAGGCTCCCTCCCTCCAGTCGGAGGTTTTCGTGATTTTGACATCCAGCCTCAGAACAGGGGGTGGATAACCAGTGTGGGGGGTCTGGGGCAACCCCTCCCCCCTCCCGGGGAGGTGGGAGCTGCACAGTGACATTTGTGCTGTCATGATTGTGTGCTCGTTTTTAGTTTGGGGAGTTTTGTCCAACAGTTCATCTTTCAGTAGCAATTTTTAACCAGATAGGGTTTGTTTTGGGGCACCTACCTTTCTGAGTGCCTGGATCTGGAGGTTATCTGGAGATGATTTCGGGGATTTTTAGTGTCCCCGCGGCCCGGTCCTCGACCAGGCCTTCACCCTTAGGAAGCAGCCCGTGACAGCTGACTAACACCCAGGTACCTATTTACTGCTAGGTAACAGGGGCATAGGGTGAAAGAAACTCTGCCCATTGTTTCTCGCCGGTGCCTGGGATCGAACCCAGGACCACAGGATCACAAGTCCAGCGTGCTGTCCGCTCGGCCGACCGGCTCCCTCATCGCCTAACTTGGTCAATGGCAGACATAGAATGCTTCCAACCACACAAGGTTTTCTATAGGCCATTGCTCCTTGTGCCTGTCTGAGGCGGCTAGGTTCTGGCTTGTGGTCCCTGGTAGGCCTAGAACTCCATTCGCTTTGACTGATGTAACAGCCTAATACATTCATATCAGCCCAGAAAGCTCCGGGGAGCCTCCGGGTCTCATCCAGAAAATGGCGTTTTATTACATTCAACACTGTTTTTTTATTCTAGTTTCTCCTGGGAGTTTTTGGTTTGTTTCATGTCCTTAGGTGCTGGTCACTGTGGGCAGCCTCGTCTCTAGCTTCTCTGTTTTCGATTCTTGGAGATGTTCTCCTTAGGGCATGTCGAGCTTTCTTGTGGTTGGTGTGTGTGTCTTTTCTGACTATTTTGACTATCAAACACTGGTGACAGTCTCGGCCAGTGGTGACAGTCTCGGCCAGTGGTAACAGGGGTCAGCCAGTAGTGAGAGTGTCAGCCAGTGGTGACAGTGTCAGCCAGTGGTGACAGTGTCAGCCAGTGGTGACAGTGTCAGCCAGTGGTGAGAGTGTCAGCCAGTGGTGAGAGTGTCAGCCAGTGGTGACAGTGTCAGCCAGTGGTGACAGTGTCAGCCAGTGGTGACAGTGTCAGCCAGTGGTGACAGTGTCAGCCAGTGGTGAGAGTGTCAGCCAGTGGTGAGAGTGTCAGCCAGTGGTGACAGTGTCAGCCAGTAGTGAGAGTATCAGCCAGTGGTGACAGTGTCAGCCAGTGGTGACAGTGTCAGCCAGTGGTGACAGTGTCAGCCAGTGGTGACAGTGTCAGCCAGTGGTGACAGTGTCAGCCAGTAGTGAGTGTGTCAGCCAGTAGTGATAGTGTCAGCCAGTGGTGAGAGTGTCAGCCAGTGGTGAGAGTGTCAGCCAGTGGTGAGAGTGTCAGCCAGTGGTGAGAGTGTCAGCCAGTGGTGAGAGTGTCAGCCAGTGGTGAGAGTGTCAGCCAGTGGTGAGAGTGTCAGCCAGTGGTGAGAGTGTCAGCCAGTGGTGAGAGTGTCAGCCAGTGGTGAGAGTGTCAGCCAGTGGTGAGAGTGTCAGCCAGTGGTGAGAGTGTCAGCCAATGGTGAGAGTGTCAGCCAGTGGTGACAGGGGTCAGCCAGTGGTGACAGTGTCAGCCAGTGGTGACAGTGTCAGCTAGTGGTGACAGGGGTCAGCCAGTGGTGACAGTGTCAGCCAGTGGTGACAGGGCTCAGCCAGTAGTGACAGTGTCAGCCAGTGGTGACAGTGTCAGCCAGTGGTGACAGGGGTCAGCCAGTGGTGACAGTGTCAGCCAGTGGTGACAGTGTCAGCCAGTAGTGACAGGGGTCAGCCAGTGGTGACAGGGGTCAGCCAGTGGTGACAGGGGTCAGCCAGTAGTGACAGGGGTCAGCCAGTAGTGACAGGGGTCAGCCAGTAGTGACAGTGTCAGCCAGTAGTGACAGGGGTCAGCCAGTAGTGACAGGGGTCAGCCAGTAGTGACAGGGGTCAGCCAGTAGTGACAGGGTCAGCCAGTAGTGACAGAGGTCAGCCAGTAGTGACAGTGTCAGCCAGTAGTGACAGGGGTCAGCCAGTAGTGACAGTGTCAGCCAGTAGTGACAGTGTCAGCCAGTGGTGACAGTGTCAGCCAGTGGTGACAGGGGTCAGCCAGTGGTGACAGGGGTCAGCCAGTGGTGACAGTGTCAGCCAGTGGTGACAGGGGTCAGCCAGTAGTGACAGGGGTCAGCCAGTAGTGACAGGGGTCAGCCAGTAGTGACAGGGGTCAGCCAGTAGTGACAGGGGTCAGCCAGTAGTGACAGGGGTCAGCCAGTAGTGACAGGGGTCAGCCAATGGTGACAGGGGTCAGCCAGTGGTGACAGTGTCAGCCAGTAGTGACAGGGGTCAGCCAGTGGTGACAGTGTCAGCCAGTGGTGACAGGGGTCAGCCAGTAGTGACAGTGTCAGCCAGTAGTGACAGTGTCAGCCAGTGGTGACTGTGTTGGCCAGTAGGCAGAACGTCAGCCAGTAGACAGAGCATCGGCCAGTAGAGACAGCGTCGGCCAGTAGACAGAGCGTTAGCCAGTAGAGACAGCGTTGGCCAGTAGACAGAGCGTTGGCCAGTAGAGACAGCGTCGGCCAGTAGACAGAGCGTGGGCCAGTAGAGACAGCGTCGGCCAGTAGACAGAGCTTCGGCCAGTAGAGACAGCATTGGCCAGTAGACAGAGCGTTGGCCAGTAGAGACAGCGTCGGCCAGTAGACAGAGCGTCGGCCAGTAGAGACAGCATTGGCCAGTAGACAGAGCGTCGGCCAGTAAAGACAGTGTCGGCCAGTAGACAGAGCGTCGACCAGTAAAGACAGTGTCGGCCAGTAGAGACAGTGACACTTAACAGATGTGTTTTGGGTATCTGAGACTGGGATTTTCAAAGTAGGAATGAGGCTCTAAGGATATAAGTAACAAGACAAGAGGTTAATTCATGTGTGGCAACAGTGAAATTACAACAACAGGACTTAATAATTTGCAATTTATGCGTGATCTCTTCCTTCTGTTTCTCTCCTATCATTCCCCACATGTATATAATGAAACAGTCCTTATATGTTGGCATGTTCCAGTGGTTATTTCATCAGATATGTAATAGCAACTAAGTACTGTATGTAGAGTTCCTTAAACTATATTTAAAATGATTTATTAAATTTCTATTTGTGTTTGAGGATGGTTGAACTTCTCTGGTGAAGATTACATTTGAGGCTAACACAAAGAGTCAAATGTTGGCAGCAGAATAATGGCATTAATAAGTTCATGGTTATTTTACAAATTATTATTATTGATATTCAAGTATGTTTTTATTCTAGTTATAATCATTATAGTAATTAGTTGTAGTTTATGATATTATTAAAGTATATAACTCACTCCTCTCTCTCTCTCTTTTTTGTTCTACCTGTCTGCTATGTTGTTTGACTGGCTCTCTAGAAGGTAATGTTTTGTTGTGTGGAGCATGTAAGTTGTGAGATCACTAGGCCAGATCTCTGCCGCACCTTGTGGTCTTCATCACCTCTCCCCAACCACATCATCGTGCATCTCTCCACCACACACACTTGATATGTCTCTTACCAAACTTGTAATAATTTACAAGCATCAACATTTATTGTTATTGTGTGAAAGGCTCATGTTGCAACCACCGGTAGCTTGACTTACTTCATAACAATATAATTATTATTTATATATGGTATATAATTACTCCACTTGTGTTAAAGAGAGATCTGGTTTATTTTTCTCAAGCTTTTTCGTATTCCTTGGTTTATGCTTCTATAGAATAGACCTATTTATTAAGACAATAATCAAATAAATAGCATGGTTAACCAAAGAGTTTTTAAGTGATTTGGGCACTTGCCTTTTTCATTGTGAATAATGAGCTTTTAAATCTAACATCCTTTATATGTGTTTTTGACTTATGCCAGCCAATTCTTTCACAATAATAATTTATAATTTTGTTGTGGGCTTTAAAATTTGGCTTTAGAATTTAATCGATTTAGTAAACTGATGGAAAAGTTTTACATAATTTCCAGTTATTTTCTTTATATTTGAGATCAAAATGTTTCATACAGGAGTGAGTTAATACTAGCCATAATGTGAGACATGTGTTTTGCTTGATGGCACTACTGTACTTATATAATTGTGCATTTCAGTGGTGTTGTTTTTGTTTTGGAGAAATTTGAAGACTTAATCTTGTAAAATACTGTACTGTGAATGCACATACTGTACAATACTCCAAACTCAGCTGTGCTCTCTCCTGATAATAACCTTACCTTCTGGACGTTATTTTAAATGTCTTTATTGTTGTACAGGTATACGTATTATAAAAATTAAGTGAAAACTTTGTGAAGGCAAGCATATTACACGCTGTAATGACTGGGTTCTCACAGAAAGCCTGCAATTGCACTGTGCACTTGCAATAGCCTACGTTGAGTTACTCAGAGAGCGAACAACACGATATCGATATGCCAGTGGCCGAGATACTAACAGGAAGTAATGATCTCTTCCACCATGATATCATAATCTTGCAATCTTAGGGAATATCATTCATATATTGTACAAGTTGTGAAGCAGCTCTACCCTTGAGATGGTGTCAAGAATTATTAAGTGTGTAAGGGAGTTTGTGTGAGAGTAGTAAGGGAGAAAAATGGTATGATTGAAAGCTATGTAACAAAATACTAGTTTATTACAGAAACATAAACACTATTACACATTGTTCCTTTATGTTACAAGAGAGTATCATTGTCACAAAAACTAAACAAGCACACTTGGTAGGACATGGTCCAGCGGGGCTCCAGTGTGTAATGAGAACTTAGTCTCTGCCACTTGCAACAGACAACAGAATGATTCTAACTGAACACAGTTATGATAACTTTCCTTGGCACTGGTAAAAACAAGGGAAATTTACTGGTATACAGCTGTATACTCATACCTGCTTCATGGGGTTTCTGGGAGTTTTTCTACTCCCCAAGCCCGGCCCGTAGCCAGGTTTGACTTGTGAGAGCTTGAGGTTGTTGCTTGGAGGGCCCACAGGCCCAAATATCCACACAGCCCGGTTGGTCCGGCACTTATTTTAGAAAACAATCTAGTTTTTTCTTGAAGATGTCCATGGTTGTTCCCGCAATATTTCTTAAACTCGCTGGGAGGATAATAACACATTTGTCAGACAAAAATGCAAGTGATGCAGAATATATATATATCTTTGAAAGTGGATTATCATCACTTAATTGGTGGAGTTCTTTCAGTAGGTTGTGAGACTTCGGTTTCTATTGAAGTAAGCAGTGGTTTGTTCGACTTGCTGACTTTCTGGTGCTTCCGTGGTGAAGTGACATAAAAAAGTATTACAGCTTCCTGCACCTGCTGTGAGGGAAGGCTAGGTTCTGACGCTGGTCCCTAGTAGGTCAATAGAATTCCTTGACTAATTCGACCTAGTAGATGGTACCATATCAGTACTGTATATAGTAGCTTCAGGGAGCCGCACGGAGGTCCCCCAGGAAATATCTTATACAGTTAAATGCATTCTCTCGTTGGTACAAGTTTAATTTTTGGATTGTTTTATCAAGAGGAGTAAAAAATAATATAAAGTACTGCATAAGTGTATAGTAGTTAAATCCTTCCTGCACGAAATATGCATAAGGCAAGTTGAGACTTGTTGGCTAGTGACACACACACTCTACTTCTCAGGAGGATTGCTAATTAAGTTTTTTTTTGTACAGTTAGCTATACAGTCAGTTATGCAAAGGAAGGAACATAATGCAGAAGAAGTGCTACTAAAATTGTACAGGTTGTAGAAGACAAGATATTCCACATGCTAGCTGAAGACCCTGCGCCTGACAATCCAGGGTGTGATGATGATGCCATAATGCAACAACTAAATGAAAACTAAAAAAAAAAAAAAAAATAAAAGGCGAGACGGTGACAATTTTGACACTTCTTCTAAGGACTGGAGTATCTGAGAATAGAGCAAGAACTTCCCTGTGCAAGTAACTGTATGATACATAAAGCTAAGCATTTAATAAAAGAGCCTGTGATGTTGTCACCACTAATCCTAAGCCAGGAAGGAGCTTGACCCCAGATATTGTTGAGACTGTGAAGAACTTTCACTGCAATGATCATGTCAGCAGAATAATTCCTGACTAGAAGGACTTTGTGACAGAAGAGGTAGTGCAAACGAGCACATTCAGAAGGAGGCAAGTCTTAAAGAAACTTGCAAAAGTGTATGCTCACTTCCAACAATCATATCCTGGTGTGAAGATTAGCTTTTAAAATTTCATTCAAAAAACATTGTGTTCTTGTGGGAGCAAGTGGTACACACACACTATATGTGTTTGTGTTTTACATCAGAATGTGAAATTGTTAATGGAAAGGTGCAAATTAAACAGCTAATGGAAAACCAGGATATTCATCTATCTGCTTACCACCATTACCTGGCAAATATGATGTGCAACCCACCCAAAGTAGAATGTTTGTTCTAACACTGAAATTATTGTGTTGTGTAACTTTGCAGAAAATTATTGTTTCCTACTACAAAATGAAGATTTCCACTGGAGTAATTCCCAAGCCACAGTCCATCTACTTGCCATTTACTACAGAGAAACACCAGCAGGGAAATTGTCGTGTACAAACTTAGTAGTTATTTCAGCCTGTTCCCAACACAAGTCATACATTTACATTTCAAAAGCATCTCATTCAATTTCTAAAATAATTCATGCAAAACATATCTAAGATATATTATTTCTCAGATGCGTGTGCAGCCAAAAACAAAAACAGAAATAACTTTTCAGACTTTGTTCACCACAAAACTTGGTTTTGGGATCCCAGCTGAGTGGCACTTCTTTGCTCCTAGGGCAAGAACTCTTGTGATGGACTGGGTGGAACTGTGAAGAGACTGGCAGCTAGGGCAAGTTTACAATTTATCTATACTGATAAATTTACTCCAAGACATTTGTTCTGCTGGGTAAAAGACAATGTCAAGAAGATAAGCTTTGCCTATGTGTGTGTGTGTTAACAAGAAATAATGGAGAATGAGAAATTTCTACACACATGACCTGAAGAAACTTGGCCAGCACCTGTAACTCAAACTTTTCACGCTTTCATCCCAATAACGCAGAATTAATTACAGTAATAATAAAGGGGTTTGCTACAGAAACAACTTGTGAAGTGCAGCAAACAGATATTCAACATGAAACTTTATCTTTGGAAGAAATAAGTGGTTTTGTGACTTACATCTATAATGATGCCAGATGGTTTGGTTGTGTCGTGAATGTAAATACAACCGGACAGGAAGTTTTCTACAGCCCAATGACCAATCCCCATCATAATGTGTATCCTCACCAGCCAGACATATTGAACATTCTGATTGAAGAAGGTCTCGCTAAGGTTGATCCACGTACTGCAACTGGATGAACTTGCACATTAACATTGCAGACAGTCAAAAGCTCAGAAGAATCACTGCAGAGGAGAAGGCATTAACTTGTTACAATAAGTGGTGGTTATGCCTCCACACTCTGCTGGGGCATTGTGATCCACGGTCTCCATGCCAGTCAAGGGCATTGTCTCATTTGTCTGGTTCACAGTATGAATTTTGCGACTGTGTGGTATGTGTTGCAGAAGGTTTGGATTCTGCTTGGCTCTATATCTGGTTCCATTTGGACTGTTCTCCTGTGGTTCTCAGCGGGAAAGATTTGCTTTGGTCTCAGCATCTTTGGAGCTGGACTCCTCAGATTGCTCTGCTGGGTTCTCAGGATTGGTTCTCCTTGTGGTTCACGTTCAGGGTGTGTCCAGCATCTTTGCAGACAGTCTGTCCCATTTCCTGTCTGTCTCCTTGGAGTGAGCTGTTGATACCTCCTGTGGCTTTGTTGGACGTTTGGGACCTCTTCGCTTTGGCTTGGCGCCTCCCTCTTTTTTCAGCACCATTATCTAATCATGGGTCCATGCGGTAGTGCCTTCCAGCTGGACTGGTCAAGGTACGGGTTTGTTTGAATCCCCCCCCCCCCCCCATCTGGTCTGGCTATTGCTCCAGGTTCTGGCACGGTTGAAGTATCCATGGGGGGATTGTGAACCTTCTGTCTCCTTGACAGCCGCCCCAGCCTTGGTTATGTTGCTGCTTACTCTGTATCTAAACCCATTCATTTTTCTATGGCTCTGCGTCAGAGTTTTGGATCAGTGGCATGCTTTGCTGGTCTGTACTTCTCCACTCTAGATGTCTGGTCTTTTGACTCACGCGTTTGGCTTTCTTCTGGTATTGTGGTAGCCTTGATGGTGTCCCACACGCGGTCTTCCTCAGGGTGGCAGTATGGGTTTTGTGATGTTCATTCACCACTCTCTCCTTCATTGCTGTCTTTCATTTTCCATGTGGATCTTCTCTCTCTTCTGTCCTGGCTTTTCTCGGATCAGCATCTCGTGTCGCATAATATTGCTTCATGTTGTGTGACGCTGGC